TACCCTCAAGCTCGGGTATGTGTTGATGCACGAAACCACAAAAGTGCAGAAATGTCGTGCGGCTTCTTGTCAGCTGAGGATCATTCCATTCTTCTACACTCCTCTGTAGGCTCGTTCATGAAAGACTTGATGAAGGCCTTGGAATATCTTTCGTTCGGTGCTTCCAAAGAGATTTGATCTTTTCAAATAGAATTGTGATTATATTCTAAAGCACAACATACCTCTTATCCGTCTGAGCCCGGATGCAGCCTAGATTGCTATGGACAAGTTTATGATAGGTCACGGGATTAGTTTCAGCTCAAAAATGCAGATTACTATAGATTCCTGCTGCAGTGGCTTTTGGTTCATAGATTGAATGAGGCCTTTTGCAACATTCAAGGTCAGTGGGGTTAGTGTATTTCATTCCTTTAATGTGTAGATTACTGTGAGTTCAGTCCTAGATAGCGGAGGAGGGCGTTTTTGACTCCTGCGGTCGATATCACGCGGGCGCTGGGACATTTTTAACTCGCCGGCATATCTGTTGTGGTCAAGGGTGTGTTCATCTGTGGGAAGGATGGGCGCTAAATGTCTAATTATGCCTCCGCCCACGTTCTCAACTTTCCCAGGGTAGAGAAACACTAGCGTAACGCGGCACACGCTCTGTAATCAGTGATGTCAAACTTCGCATGAGGCACGGCCTCGCAGATGAAGCTCAGGAACCATCGGGGACCCTGGAATGTAGAACGCATGCCCGTCCTGTCGTCAGAGCTTTAATTATGTCTGTTCTACACAGGAGAGACCATGGAGCCACTTATGTGTTGGCATACTGCAGATTGCTAGCCAACTTTGAATTTAATCAACAAGGTAATTCATAATAAAAATGTACAGGAGCAATAATATAGACCCGCTTGTACAGAGTTTATTGCTTTATGTGTTTTCACTGACTGTTATGAAAGTTGATATGATCTTCTTTATTTGATATCCTAAAAACTATAGATCATTTGGATAAGGGAGTTTAGATGTAGTAATGGGTGTGGAACGATAAAGCAATACTCTGCCAGAATGCCGTTATCTCCACAGCTTTGGACTGCTCAGCAGGTCCGTGTGTTTCTGTTCCCAGGAATCCAAATGGTCCAGAGGTGAAAGGTGCAAAACCCGGAAATGCGACACAATCTTCCAGATCGAGAAAAACCCAGGTGGACGGCCGAGCGTTCCCTCTCCACCTGAAACTCCCTCACTGGAAAAGTGCAGCGTCAACACATTGAGATGCCAAGACTTTTCATTCTTCATCTAAAATGAAATTGCACGGAGTGATTAAGCTAATACCACTTAAGTTGTTTTAAAAATTTACATCTATTCACGGTTGACTTCAGGTGGTAGAAAGAAGGGCCTCCACACATGCATGTGTATTCCTTTATATATATATATTTTTCAAATGTACAACATCAGCCCTCTCTCTATAACATAGAATGTATATAACCCATGCCTCCGTGCAACAGGGGAAAGTGGGTGTCTCTGTGGTCTCCGTCTCTGCCCTCTGTGTCTCCTGTGGGCCAATTCCCAGTGACATTCTGCCAAACCCCAAGGTAGCAAGCCATGAAAATGAGTGTGTTGCCCTGTGGGTTTAAAAAAAGACATGTTTTGATCCATCCTCTTCGACTATTCCTTCCCATGCTTGTTCTCCTATCTACAGAATTAGTTCTGTGGGGTAGAGTGGAAATTAAAGTTCAATCACTTAGGTTTTCTGCTACCTTACCATTATTGCTACCAAAAGGGCTGCAAATTAAGATTCTCCTTGTCTCTCTGCAACCACTTGGAGACTGAAAATTGTGTCACAGGGGACATGATGCAGTAATTTGTGGCGTACATAAATATGATACATTATACATAGAGAAGCTTTGTGTATTCATTTTTCCCATCGGCTCTCTTTAGTTATATCCCTAATGCAATTTTCATTGCCTTTTTTAGACTTGGTACCATTTTTTGGAGTATATCTACATGTGTTTATATGATGTTGAACAAATAATGAACTCATATCTATTATATTTCAAACCAGCCTGCTTTCATCATTGTATGTTGTTGGCATTCCTGCATAGAGTGCCACAGACTGGTCTTCTATTGCAAAATCAAACATTTGTTCCTTAAAGTAAACAAAGTGAAGCTTTTAATGCTTTGCTACAAACTCATCCTGCACATATGATGGGTGATCAAATACGGCAATACCTAAATATAAAAGTATTACATGAAATATGGAAATATCCAATTTCTATTCATTTCTTTCTCAGATTAATTAAGAATTTCTGAGTTAAAAATTGTGTTTGTAAGAAATTTTCATAAAATTTGCTGTAATGATGATCTACAAAAATGCTAAAACATCAGATTTTTCTTCAAGTTTTATGGTTTCCAGGACCCCATACGAGCATTAGGATGATGGCAGCGCAAAAAAGTCTTACTATTACCTTTCCATAAAAAAAGAAACCCGTCAGCCCAGACAGTCAACATTTTGTCTTAAATTTAGAAAAGAACTAGAAGAAAATGTTCCTGCTTCCTCTCTGCGGTGGCATGGATATTTATAATAGGAGACCAATGTCTGGATAACCCACCATTCGTTCTTTCGTAACTGTTCTGTTGTGCATCCAATCCATCCCCTCTCACGTGAAAAGTGTCCATCTGGCCACAATCTCACAGCACCCAGCAGTGACCTGAAGCACCTACCTCACATGCACTGTGAGTGTTACATTGCTATCAATATGAGCGATGGACATCCACCTCTTCTATACAATGAGAGCAGGATCTGTGGATCAGGTAAGAAGAGTAAACAATAAGTTTAATTTAAATGCACCAAGTTTCTTAACTCGGGTAGAAGAAGGTGCGCTTGTACTTCTGTCTGTATATTTTTACCTTTTGGTTGCTTATGATTGATGGTCAACATGAAAGATGAGGAAAACATGTTTGAGGCACAGCATAACTGCAAATGTACCAAACAACATGAACGCTCCCTAAGGATGTCCTGGCTTCGGGCCGACCCAGTGGTCACTGGTCATCAGGCACGGCCCAAAGATCAGCCAGTCACAGAGCAGCAGCCCCCTCAGTCCGTCTATATAAACTGTGAGAGGCTCCTGCAAACCTCTAAATGTTAGGAGGAGGTTTTCTCTGTGCTCGTACATGTCAGCTGTTCACCCAGGAGCGCTTACAATGATTTAACGGTGGAGCAAATTAAATGCACAGATTATCAAAATTACAAGGAAAAGATATGAGTGAAGTCATGCAAACATATAGAGGAGAATATTAGGAATGTGGGTTTCTTTGGTTTTCTGGAATATGAGTCTATTTATGGGATATGAGTCAGATAATATATATTTATATATATATATATATATATTTCTTTTTGTATGTTATATATATGCACTTCAAATGAAAAATCCTAGTGACACTCACAAAGGGCTGCTTTATGCTGTAACACCCACAGTATGAAAAATGAGATGCGCACAACTCTAAGACCTCTGTGGGAAGAATGAAAAGGTACCACAAAAACCTCATTAGTGTAAAGAAGCATTATAGTTGCATAACATAATAGTTTCATCAGCCCTGCAATTAGTCCTTCACCTCACCCCGAGCCAAAAACAAACACCCAAAACTCTCAAGCAGTCCTTTAAATGCAGAACTGTAATATTTGAGTCTCTTAATAAGAGAAAATGGTAAGTATGCATTTTACAATATATAGTTGTGAAAATATGAGCTCTTCAACTTCAGAATCTGTAAACTGTGTATCTAACCTACTGAGTCTCATTAATAAGTCCTTTAACATCGCGTTGCACAAACGTGATGTTGAAGCAACATGTTCTTGGCAAAGTATTTCACTAATTCTTCACCTGAAGTGGGCGGGTTTGAGTAACGTACGGTTCTACAGTCGAGCTCACCTGCCGGCAGGTGAGGCTGTTTGGGGCCACCTGGAGGTTTAATTGAGGCATTCTCACCAAAAAGCTTTACATAAATACAATCACATTGCCTTTACAAATCTGTGGATATCTGAGGGAGCCTTCAGTCATATATTAGTATTGATTACATATATCTTTATTATATATATATATATATTTTTTTTTTTGTGGGTTCAGTTCCAGTTTTAGTAACAAATACGACCTACAATGGAGTCATATTAATAAACATCTTACCTTTCAAAGAAGACCATAAATGTAATGTTTGATTTTTTTTTGGTTATTTTAGTTTTTGTTTTAGGGATGGGGCTCAGAGGCTAATGATATATGTTAAAGTTTAGGTGCTTTACAAGATTTTAATATGATACATGTGGCAATAATGGAGCTTGTGGGCTGTTATTTGGAGAAGCTGAGATGTCTGTTATCCTGCATAAATAGTGGAGGGCTGAAGTTGGTAAAGATGTATTCTGATTTACTTTCGAACACCACAGAAATTTCTTCCTCAAACCATATGCTTTTTTTTTTTATTTTTAAGCCTGTCATTGTTTATTTTTTCGGGGGGAGCATAAATATATATCAATGTGCAGGCTAAATTAAAAAGTCTCTCACAGTTGTTGACTTTCTATTTCCTGTTTTACGCAGACAAATATACACAGTCAGTGGAAACCATGATGCTTATATATATATATATATATATATATATATATATATATACAGCCGTGTAGGATGGGTGAATTCCTTTTGGTTATCACATTGACCACCGGTGGTTTCCATGTTAAACACCACTGTCTGATCAGTGAATATATGCCCCTTAGTGTCCTCCCCTTTATAGCTATTGCTGTCTATAGCGTCTCGAGGAAGTGGCTCAGACATGCCCTGAAAAAGGGCACTGCTTGCTCTTTTGCAAATCATGAAACCAGTTATTTAAACATTCTATTTTGTTTTTATTTTTATTTTTGACCTAGGTCCATGAATTGCATCCATGTGCAGAATTTGTCAAGATTAAAACAGTGTAAACGAGAAGTAACATCTGGTATAGGAGGAAGGTACCTATTTGGCTAGAAATGAATGTGACAGTGCACAAAATCACATATTTACATATGAGTAATTTGATTTATTGATCGGTGTCTTTACGTTGAGGGAAAACCAGAACAGCTTGTGTGCATCACCTCACCGGTGAGGTTACAGGCAAACTCTGGCTCTGCAAGGTCTTTCTGACAAACCTTGCATTTCTGGCCCTTATCCAGTCTGAACTTTCTTTTTGAGGTGTGCATCTGCAGAGTGGAGAAGTAATCGAGTGAAAAATAATAAGAAAACTTGAATTCATACAATGTTCATGAAACAAAATGAAAAAAAACGTACCCAAATGACCTTGTGTCGCGTGAGCTCCACCTGGGCCATAGCTTTTTGCAGCTGCGCCATTCGCCTCTGGTGGAATGTCTCCCTGAGGGATCCAACTAAGAACTGGGAGACCAGTTGAACAGACCAGGAATCAGGCAGGAGCCGTATGACCTTCTCTGCTGCCAGGACCCGAGGGTGGTTGTTGAGCAGATCCACGGCCGCGCTGCCGAGGTCCTCCGAGCTCAGGTACATTTGGAGCAGGGTGAGCAGCAGGGTCTGCCTGAACACTGTGTCCCTGCCCCGCGCGGCCCTGCAGCAGTAGGCCTCTGCAGCCTTGAGGTCCCCCTCCTGGTGAACAAGCACCTGCAGTGCCTGAGAGTGTCCACCGGTCTTCCCCAAGAGGATGGCTTTCTCCAACCTGAGAGTCGTCCACTCGACTCTCTCTGCAATTACAAAAGTGCCGTACTATTCAGTCAAAATACAGTGATGAATTATTTTACCGATGGGGAATCCACACACCGTATACAGTGGAGACGTCGTAAAATCTGGATTCCCATAGAAGCTGCTGCAACTTCGCCCGGGTCCCCCGCAAATCTGTGTCCTCTTCCTCTCGCAGCGACTGAGTAACATATGCCAGGGCCAGGCGGTTATGGTGTCTCTCATCCTGGGTGCAGATTAAACTGTTAATGTCTCGGTGCATTCAATAAAAGAGCCGGGGATAGTAGATTAGGTAGCTGCTGCTGTGCCCACCTCACTGTTCAAATCATGGATTAAGAACTCAAGATGATGAAGCATCGCCAGCGGGTACTTCTCCATGAGAGCGAGGACATCCTGTGTCTCAAATTGAACATCTGGCGGACGCTTGTTGAAAATCTGCACCCCAATCTTTTTAAAAGAAAGAACAACTGTTACTGGACATTTTATTAGCAATAATTGTTTCATAGCAAATTAGGTGTCATTTTTTCGCATAGAGTTGATTGTTCAACTCATCCTTCTGCAGTTGAGAGTATGAAGTAGGAAAAAGGGACCTCCTGGTTTCTTTGAAGAGTCCAGTCTGCAAATTTCCACACAACATCTCTGTCCGGCAGCTGGCTGAGAGTCTGCACTATATGGCCATACACATCTGAGCAGGACGGGTCTTTGTGGAGGCCATCTTCAATTTTCACCCAAGTCTATAAGAATATAAAAGGCTAAAAATTACCCTTTTAAACATCAAGTTTTTATTAAATATGTTGTTTTTGGGGAATTGATACCTCAATTGCATCAATGTAGTATCCGTGGCTTTGATAGAGGGAACCTACGGCAAAATATCTGTGAATAAAGACAGATCACACAAGAAATTATCCAACAGAATTTGAGAACATTTTGAATACGTGGCTTTTCTTTTAAGACCAGATTTGTCATTTAACAAACCATATTTGTAATTATATATGAGCTATTTAAACCTGTTGTGTCGCTCCAAAACCGGAACACAGCAGTCCAAACTGCACAAATTGGGAAATGCCACAAGCTGCTGCAGATTTTCAGTGTCTCCCACTTCCACGTACAGCCTCAGGAGGGCGTAGTCCACCTCCTTACTGCACTTTAGGCCTTGCACCGTCCCCCTGACAGCTCTGAGGAAATCTCCCAGGAAGGCCAGGTAATGATGAAATGTGTTCCTGTCGTCTCGGCAGACCACCTGGACGTCCCTGCCCTTGTTCAGATGATCGAGCTTGGATTGAAATTCCTCGCTGAGACACGACTGGAAGTCGGGGTAGAGGCGGATGATTTCCCTCGGGTCCAGCTCACCTGCACTGTTCGAATGGGTAATGAACATTGGTTTGTGTTGGATTTAAGTGTAGGATTCAGCATAAAACTCCCACTGTTCACAAAAGTCACTTATCAGTGAACAGCTTGCTGCGTTTAGCTATGAATTGAATGTGCGGTCACAGGCTTTTCACTCTCACATGAATAGATCCATGGCCGCAGAAAAATCCTTTTGGTAAAAATGGACCAATCCAGCGAGGCAAGTGACGGCCTTCTGCAGCTCCTGCCAATAAAGAAAAAAAAAACAGAACAGAGTTTGAACATATTCAAAGCACAGCAATATATGAGGCTGACTCTTTGAGGCAGAAGACTCAAATCTCGAGGGCAATATGTTACACTTCAAATTTAAAAAACAAGAAACGAGAAAAAAAAGGAGGGACTCATCTGCGTTTAGGTTCTAACACCATCACCTTTGACCTGTAACTCAAGATATGGCGCAGATTACACTAAATCTCGGACACCATCTGCTGTCCTCGTTGCATTCATCCAACTGGAATACACCTACAAGAACAGCTTGCAACAATGTCGTGCATCCACGCCTCGACAGCCTTCATCTGTTTAAAGGCCTCGCAGCCAAAATGTGTAACACTTATGGACGTTGTAAAACCTGCATTTAATTATTAAAAAAATATTTTTTCATATACATCATATAAATGATTAAAAAAAACACAAACATTTTCATTCAGACTGAAATGTCTCAATAGCTACTGGATGTATTTGGTGCAGACATTTACGTTACAATATAAATCCATCTGAATTTAGTAAATGTTGACTTTCTCTTGGGCCACAAGCATAAGTATTTTAACATCTAGGACACGGATTGGCACAAACCTCACATGATGCCACGGTTGCTGGCATTCATGTTACGTCCTTTGAAAATCCCATTTTTCTTTAGCTCTACATCCAAGTCATAATTCCTGGTCAAACGTTTTTTTTATCTGCATGTGAGCATTGTCATTTGAAGAATATGAATCTGTAAATAACAAGTGGATCACAGTGATATCACTGAGTATTTAAGGAGTCCCAGACTGGAAAGTGTCCGGAGCTGCTCCTCTGTTGGCCATTAGAAATAATACAAATGTCAAGCACTTCATTGGCTTCATTTCTTTAGAGCCGCAGGTTGCCATCTGCTTATCATGTTGACATTTCCGTCTTTCTCAAAACACTAGTACTACTAACCAGTATAGCACAAGCACTTTTCAGAATTTTCCCATTTCTCTTATAATAATAATTCCTTTGGGTAAAAGAGCCGTTAAAAAGGCAGATTCTGGTGTTAGCTCACTTAACAAAAAAGGCAGATTCTGTGTTGGCAGAAGAAAGACAATTAATGTTCTTGTCAGCTATCCTGAGGAATTGTTTTGTAACCCTTGAGAATACGAATGTTAGAAACCTAGATTTCAAAGCAGAGAGTTTTCACCTTGTATGAGTCAAGTGGAAGTTGATCCTGAACTGCATCCAACAGCATTAAGGCCTCCTCAAACCTCTCATGCATTACAAGTGTGTGGATCTGCTCCTCTGGTGGCACCAGGCGCAGGCTGAAAATGTCCCTCTCTGTGAACACTAACACGCCATCTGAGGGGGAGATTTGTTTTGGGTTCTCAACAACACCGTTCTATCGAGTGAGAACAGTAGGTGAAAGGATGACAGACTGAGTCAGTGCAAACTGAGGCGGACACAGCGACACCTCTGAAAACAAAACCACCATTTGACAGCCGCTCGGTCTGTAATCTGGGCAGGATTAGGTGACGGATTGATGTTGACTGGTTCACCTGATGTGCAGAGGAGACCCTTCGCTCCGCTGAGACTCACAGTCTGTTTGCACTGCTGATCTACGGCGCTGTAGACAGACAGCACTTGGGGCTGCAGGGTTAAGATGTAAGGGAAACACACTCCGGCTGCCAGCACCTCCTGAGGCCACTGGAGGGGAGGGCGCTGGCATATCCCTGTCTTCATCACAAACATGCCTGAGGGAGGAGGATGGGGTGATGATATATTGGAAAAACAAATGTCCTTTGGCAACATGGTAATATGGGGGAGGGGTATGAGATGATTAGCTGTATCGGGCAGCATGTAATGGAACACGAGGATGTCTGTGCTGGACAATCTGGAGAACAACATGTTGAGTTTAGGCAGTTCTTACCCAGAGATTCAGGCCCGTTTAAGAGAAACTCCCCTCGTCCCATTGAGGTTACAATGACACGCTGTCTGCTGTGACTGTGAGGAAAAAGCTCATCGCTGCTTCCAGTCCGAATGTCACAGAGCAGATACCTGTCGCTGGTACCTACACACACACATCCACCATCCACCGCCAAGGCCACGGGGTCCTGGAGCAGCGACACCTCCTTGACCACGTCCCACCTATCCACTCCCACCACGTGGACCCGGATCGCTTTCCTGCGACTGGAGGAAGTCACCATCTTCACACCTTCTGCTTGTGCTGCGAGCAGTGAGTTGCACACCTCAAACAAATTCACATGCTGGATCTTCTTCAGAGCGGGAACAGGCTCCAAGGAGAACATGTTGAAGGCAGTGACGCTCCGGTCCCACAGGATCAGCAGATGGTTGAAAAGTGGGACTACCCTCAGTTGAGCTACAGGGTTACTTGAGCCTAGTTTTCTCAGCCGACACTCTCTGATTTTGCTCTGGCCAGGACTCTGGTCTCCATCTGTGCCACTGGGGAGGATGAGATGCAGGACTGTTGCATCTTTGGTCCCTAAATACACATTTTGGTCATAGCGCTCGATGCACTGTATGCTGGATTTGTCCTTTTCTTTTGAGGCCGGTTGCTTTTCATAGACGTGTGAGTGTGTAAATGCTCTAAAAGCCATTGCAGATATTTAAGGATGTTCAAATACAAAATGTTCAATCTGATTAAAATAAAGCTACAGATCTTTTTGTCAAACGAGACGTCCCTACCTCTCGGCTGTTCTTCTTTCCCCTCTGATTCCTCCAAGTTTATGAAGGGTAAAGTAGTTTCACCTCCCCATGTGACCATTTCCTGTCTGTAAATCTGCATCAGCATTTTTGCACCACTCATCCTGCCACGTGAGGACGCTTACACAACTCACACAGTGGCCTCCTTTAGAAGTGTACTAATGAAGTTAATGACATATAATGTAAGGTGTCAGCATTTATAGTTGGTGGACAAAAGTAGAGGAGAAAGTTATCTGCGGATTAAGGCATACATATGGTCACTCAGTTTGTTGCCAAGTAAGTGAGCTGAGCGTAATGAGGTCAAGGGGCAACAGAGGTTGGTTTTACAGCAATGATTGTCTAAATGGGCATGGTCATACAAGGATGTGGATTTCAAACCTGCAGGCACAGCTATATTTGTTACGCTGAACTTTCGACCCTAAGCTGACAGCAGATGTCCCCATTCTTTCAGCAGAAGAAGACATCGGATGAGCAACAGACCCTCCAATGATCTTTAGTGAAACAACCTTCATGTACACCAATGAGAAAGCATATCTCATCATAATCATGTATACTAACCATAGACCAGAACTATGTGTGTAGTAAAAGTTAGACCTGTATATTTGGTACAGTATCTGTCATTAATACGTATTATTATCTTGATAATAATTCTCTGTTCATAATATTGTCCATAACCTCAAAAATATATTTTTTTCCAGTCCTGATTTAAAAAATATAAAAAATACTGCCATAAAAGTGAATCCCTTAATTGAAAAATATTAAGAAAATTGCAATATAATCAAAAATAAAAGCTTGTGAGGAGTTTATTTTTTTTTAATTTTAACAATATAAGAATGGCAACTTGGCAACATTGTGAGGGATCGAATGGTTATGTACAACAACAAAATAAGCACTTGACATTGAGAGTTTGTTTATATAAGAGGTTTGCAAAGTAGACATTTCCATGGATACACAATATCTGTACCAGAACAGAAGCACTCTTTGTCATTGGGATTAAGCATCATGGAAACATCACTTCTCTCTGCCGCAGTCGGTGCACAAGATGTTGTCGCGCTCGGTGAGGAAGCCGCGTCCGACCAGCGACACGGAGCACTGAATGCACGTGAAACACTCGCTGTGCCACTGGCGTTCCTCAAAAGAGATGTACTTGGCCCCTGCCAGACCTGCACACGTCAAACAAAGATGCATGCATTTACATCATGTGCAGGTCGTTGCAATCGAAACCCCAAAACAAATGCAAACGAAGGCCTTGAATTAAAGCAAGAGATCTGTATGTCAGAGATTGATTGACAATACACGAGCATCAGGGACTCACTGGTGATGGGCTTGGTGCAGCCCACGCACTTCTTTGCATACAGGTTGCTGAAGCACTCGAGGCAGTACGGGTAGTTTTCCTTGGAGGTGAAGCGCTGACCCGAAAGCTGCTTCCTGCAGCTGATGCATAGAAAGCACTCGCGGTGCCACGGCTTGTCTTGGTAGGTAACTCCACCCGTTGTGATGGCCTAGAGGTAAAACACATCCATGGGAGGGCAAAGTCAAAGAAGGAGAAACATTCTCTTACTATGCATCCTTTTGTTATGTGCCCCCCCCCCTCCCCCACCATGTGAGTAATATTAAAAACACCAGAGTCAGTGGGATTTACTGCATACAAACACAGAAACTATACCTTCTTACAAATACAGCACTGGTAGGCGAACTGCTTCTCGAAGCAGGGCACACAGAAGTAGCCGGTGTCTTTTGGGATGAAGGACTTGGTTCCTATTGGCTGCTGGCAGCGGTGACACAGGAAGCAGGTCTCATGCCAGCTGTTCCCCTTGTATTCAATTTTGCGGGATCCTGGCACACGGGACGAGAGCAGCTTAATCAGCATATGGTACCTCGATGACAGAAACGCACTGCAGCCCTAAAGGAGTCTTGCTTTTTCTCAGGGCCGGGAAGAAGGATGAAATCGCATCGCTGCATAGTGTTTAAATGGTTTATTTGTCATCTGTATGCGGCTTTTCTGACTAAATCGATTGTGTGATGAGGTTGCCTTGTCAACTTCCAAGATCCAAAATACATTTTCAGTCTCAATTCTTGGAATTGTTTAATTTTTTGTAAAATGTACCAACCATAACCAATGTTATTTTATATGCATGACAAAAAAAAGTAATTAATTGGATTAAGGATATGAATTATTCAACAAACTGAATCCACTTATAGCACGTCTCAATATTTAGATGAATTTCCCAAATTCCAGAACAAATACATTAAGAATAGCAACAACAACAAATTATTTTTGACCAAAGGATTAACAACCAATTAACTCACAGTTTAGTCAAAACGTTCTTGCTCATTAACTTTGTCATACTATAAATAAAGGAATAGTTTGATATTTTGGGGAAACATCCATTTGCATTAGAGAGATTTAGAGGTGCTGAGAAGTGGATTTTGTCACCAGTGAATGGAACCAAGTTAACTCATCTTTACTGTGCTGATATGAGAGCTGCAGTAGTATGAGTTATATAAGTGGAAAACATATTGTGAATACAAGTGAAGGGAGGAAAACCTTTCACTTTTCTTGATGGGAAGGATGATATTTTTTGCAAATTTAGCCAAAATCTTTCAGAGAATATCCAATTACTGCTTCTCGGCTGGTTCTGTGTTAACAAAAGTGAATTAAGTTGAGTAAACTACTATTTTTCAAGGATGAAAATGTAGTTTAAATGTTGTTCTCTTCTTATGTTATTATTCCATTTAATGTGTGTAATGTGAATGTGCCAATAGACAGTGAAACAGATTTAAAGGTGTTGCTGATTCATCGCCATCATCCTAACCTAACGCATCATACCTGGCATGACGGTTTTCTTGCAAGTGGTGCACTTGGAGGAATAATCGTGTGCGTGGCATTCGGTGCAAAGTAACAAATCATCCTTGGCGGCAAAGGCCTTTTCCACCAAAGAGCGGCTGCACTTTGCACACTTGAAACACTCCTCGTGCCAGTGGCGATCCTTGTGAGACAAGTCCTGTAGATGTTTAACACATTGTTTATATCCCATTTTCAAAAAAATGTGACTTGTTTGTGTTTTTATACTGGTAAAAATTGGATCAATATGTTTTCTATTTAGTCGTTACTTGAAATGAAAGCAATTGCAAAGGGTAACATTAGGGCTTTCTTACCTTGCAGTCACAGCCAATTGCTAAAGAGCAGCCCTCGCAGTTATTAGCAAACAGGTTCTCATAACACTTGGGGCAGTACTGTTTGTCCTCTTTCATTATGTACTTCTTCCCCAGCAGGGCGTCTTTGCAGTAATTGCAGTCGAATCGCTCGCTGATGGACATTGTCGTTTGGTTTCCTGAACTGAAGGTCAAAGAGAGCCGGAGGAGGAAAATTGAATAGTGGAAAAGATTAAGAAAGATGAAGAAAGGAGCTTTGTTGTATTAAAGAAGTCTTTACCTGCGTCGATATGGGGCGAGGGTGAGGCTGGAGCTGAAGTCTGCAGGATCAGTCCAGGCAGAGGGAGGAAAAGGGGTGAGGCAGGATTAGAGGTGACCACTGGGGGGGGGATCTTCTATAAATACGGTCCCTCGTATTAGTAGTAATCTCTGGGGAGAATGGACATGCTCCACTGCATCATACTGCACCTTTTAAGGGTACGTAGCGTAGGGCAACAAGCCTTTAAACTGATATAATCATTGTGTCTTTTTTCCAGCAATGTGTACAAAGCAATGAGTAATGCAATAGTTTTAGGACCAAAAAAACTACAATGGAGTTAATGGTAAGAACCTCTGACACATAATATTTGCCTGTTCCCGCTCATAAATACGTTTCTATATTGGTGCAACAAACAAAGATGGTTGGCCATTTGGATTCCGTTGACTTCATCAGTGCCTGCCACACACACAAGCAGTTGCGGATGCCTTTTGAAAGGACCCCTCCAGGTTCTCTGGGATTGCCAGGTACTGAACTATATATTGCAACAACCTCTCCGAAGCCATTGAGAGAGCCTTGGCACCACTTGAAAAGGGAGGCTGAGGGCCTGCAGGATGTCAAGTCCATCCATGGCAAAATAAAGGAGGAGCAGATATTACACTCTGATGGTGATCATCTTGCTGATAACTCTGTACTCTTGTCACTTCATTAAAAACAAATACATTTTGTGTTGCTCTTTAACAAGAGATAAAAGACACAATGAAAAAATCCCTGGCCGATAGATTGTGACAATATAGCACAAATGCAAAACAGTATGAATGGAAATTCCTATAACTAAGGTTATTTTGAACCAACATTAGATACAACAAAGACACCCAGAAACATCGGGTGACTCCCACTGGGTCACAGCAACTCCTTGTATGTAAAGTCATTGCGTTGGTGCTGTATTGACCCAAATGTGATACAGTTTGACCCAGCTAGCGTTATGCAGTTTATTACAGTATGATTAAGACTCAAATGCCTCTTTCTGTATGTATGTTTGGTCCAGTCATCAATTCCAGTTGAAAGCACCTGAAACGTTACAAATCTTCTTTTTCTAACTTTTCGAACAAAATTATTCCAGTTCTTCAGCATCTTTGACTGACAGCCGACTAATTGAATCTTGGAACATGTGCTGATATCAGTTTTCCAAAAGGATCACCAGGCGGACATCTTCATAAAAATAGCCCGAGGAGACCACCACAGGCCTAATCCCTCATACGCACACACACACACACACACACACACACACACACACACACACACACTCACAGAGAGACATCCACAGGAAGGTCAGTAACAGGGATGAGGCTGAGAGGAATGCAACTGTCTTTTCTCTACAGTGCCACTCCTTGTAAAACAGTTCAACCCTTGTGAATATCTACAAATACAATCCAGTTTTAGATCCGCAGAGTATGTTGGGACAAAGCCTGCGTTGTATGTAGGTGGTATCTACGAACCTCCGAGGAGTAATTTAAGACTCGGTTATTTTTTTAGCAACAAGCTGCGTGTTATGAAAGGCCTTTAGCACAAAATAACCGTATCATTTCAGGAATTCAAGGGATGGGGATATTTCTGATTTTGAAGTCATGCCACCCATCAGGTTTTACATATATGTAAGTAGGTGGATCCACCGGATTACAGAGAGTCATCTGCGGATCTGGATTAAATTACCACTGTATTTTACCCCTGCTCCCTGCTGGTGTCCAGATCAGCGCCTGCAAATCTCAAAGCCAAGCAGACCGCAAATAAACCCAGTAACAACTGTAGGGCAAATATAGTCATTGCTTCTCAAAAAGCTTCTAATCTTTGTTGCATTGGTGGCTGATGGACATCATGTCTGTCTTCAAATGAAGGGTGGGGGTGACCTATATTCGCCAGCAAGCAAAGTATCTCATCTCTCAATTGTGAAAAATGTTTTTTTATCATCAAGAGAGGGCAATGTTTACTGAATATTTAAATAGGAGATTACTCTCTTGTGTAGTGTTGATCTGCAATTTGTCCATGCATGTTTGTGTTAATATAACTGCTCGAATTTGCATCTGAGATTCCAGGTGCTGCTCTTTGTCTCTCGGATTATTAACTTCTACACCACACAGTGCCCACTCTGCAAGGCAAAACGCTTGCTGATCTCGCATTTTCCTTTTTGCCTGCTTAATCCTCTGGAGTCAACTAGTGAGCAGCTGCCAACCGATTCTGTATGCGGCCTGTCCAGCCTCAATAAATAGGCCTTTATTTGACCTGGACTCGGGTGTCCTCTTATCTTAATGTATTCAGCCTTTACAATAAGGTGCCAGTGGCCGATCTTTCCCTCTCTTAATGATCTCAGAGAAGAAGAGAAGCATTTACTTTTTGGGGCGGCTCTTTTGAGGTGGCGACTTGTTGTCGACTGAGACAGATCAACACGACACAGTTGCATCTTTCTGCAGCACAAAAGCCTCGCCGCACCAGAGTTGACAGCTGGTTGGCATGGTGATGACAGCATAAGTGGGGTCCATTAGATTGAGATGAGGGGCGGCTCTTGTAGTTAATGAGAGGACTCACACAAACCTGGCCCTTTGAGTCGGCCTGCACACTCTACTGCCGCATGGAAAGCGCTTTCAACGCAGCTTTTTCATCAGAACAGGATAGCCGCATAGGGGGCTGCAATCTCCAAAAACCTTCATCAGGGAGACCCTGTGAGCCTCGCCTAGTTCTCACCAAAATGAGTTAAGGCATGAGTGGGTGATTAGAACTGTCACATACCCAGACATGTGATCTCTGCTGCTAAGGTGGAGAAAAAGTTGTCTACTCCTTGGAATGCACTACCCATTAAATGCTCTCAAGTTCAGCCAATGGAAATACTTTCTTTATTCTATACATTTGAAGGGCAATTCCTCAGTGCCTTAAAGCAGAACACTTTAAGAGTCCATCACAAGTGAACAAATTCACTGTCATCCAAAATGCCCAGCAGTCATTGGCATCTTACCTGGGCCTTATTTACTATTATTACAGTACAAATGTGGATATTTTGGGGGGGAGATAACTGACATTTTGTAAAGTTGGATGCAACATAAACCATTGCAAGTTTTGTCCGATATTCATTGTCGCCTAGCTCTGTTTTGGTCGCATTTCCTCCTGAGGTCAATGTAAGGCTCCTTCAGAAAAGCACTGAAGAGGAGGCAGCAGGTGCTATTAAGTGATTTAATGATGACTTAAACTTACAGGATGCAGTCCAAACCACGGCAGGCGACAGCGGAACAGCTAAAAATAAACCAGGAGCACTAGAACAGAAAACTATCAAGTAAAAGGTTGGTCTTTTTTGCACTAGTCGTGACAACGAGCTGACAATGAAACAGGAGAGGCACACGCACTAAATACACAATGAGAGCAGGGTGACGAGTACAGGGGACAAACAGGCTGTCAACATCTGTTGACGGACCAGCAAAGTCAATTCAAGTTTCATTCGTATTCTTTGTCGCTCAATGCCATTGGATAGCTTGACATGCTATCTATAGCCTTGTTGTGCTAACAGGAATTGCAGAGTCCGTTTTACGATTATCTCTGGCTTTGTCCCTACAGGAAAAACTTTTGACGTTACAACATCTGTGCCAACGTTCTGAAAACTGGATGCGAAGTGACCCCCCTGCCACCTGAACTTTAACAATAATCCCAAACTGACATCGATGGATTATTTGCGCCGCCGATCCCGCCAACGCACACATTTGTCACACCCGCTGACCGGCGGCGTTAAGCAGGGGCAGTTAACAAAGATGCGTCATCTTTGTGTGGCGGAGGAGATGACTCCAAATACCAGAGTGCTAGCGCGGATATTGGGTAACTAACAACAAGCAGAGGATTGAGGCGTAACCAAAGCAACACACTCTCCTTGCACTCATCAATCACTTATCAAGGCTTTTGGATAGCTATTTATACCTCTGCCTCCATTAAACGGCAATGCAATTGGAGTTGGAGATTTGGTTTTAACGTATTATTTTCAAAAGTTAACCATAATTTCTTCACTCTCACTCTCTTATCAAAAGAAAAACATTTGTATGCCCAACACGTTTTCGCATATGTCCATACCTTTATTTTCTTTGACACTATCAGACATCTACGGTTAAAACACAACATTTGGCAAAATACAACAATTTGGCAAAAAATGTGTACTGATTGAATCACTGATTTCTTTCAGTGAACTGGCAGAAAAATGATAATTTCTCAAGATATCGTCACGTTCGGCCACACAAAGAATTCATCCTGCTGGGTATACAGTGTTTTTAAGGACAGTGTCCAGAGACATCCGGATTCATGGTGCTGGGACACACTCACGGGCGGGACAGAGAAGCCACAGCTCCTCCTATTTGTTTTTGTGCAAAAAAGAGAAAGGGGAGAGAAGAGAAAAGAGACGGACAACACAAAGAAAATTGTTCATTTAAGTCACCAACCACATTGGACAAGAAACCTTTGTTTTCATACATGAGACCGGACTGTACAATATGAAACCATGAGTTGCAGTTTCCTTGTTAATCAGTAAGATAACTCAGGTCATAGAGGACAACAGCTCCATCTAAAGACAGCCACCAGCACAGTGAGTCACACAACTCTACGTGAATAAAAGTGCATATCTCCGCTGCAATTTGGCATGACTTTTTAAAATTCGGTCATGCCGAGAGCATAACCGTCTAATAACAAGAAAAATCCAATTTGTGTATAATCGTCTCACTTCTAACTTGGTGAAATTTCCACTTTAACACTAAAACAAATGACTCACACGGTCATCTTTTTCAAGTGCCACTCTGGTTTCACCTTGATTCACAGCCTTTAAAAGCACAAACATTTCTTAAGTAGGCGCGGCAAGATCCCATTCCCTCCCCGACAACACTTGAATCTCTTTACAACATTGAAAATATGTACAACATGTTGTTTCTCTGCCCCGTGAATAAAAATAAAAATATTTGAGCCCCCTCGGCCCTTTGCACATAAAGGAATTATCCTTGTTAGTGGGTGTGTTTGATCCAGATGATGATTCAGTTCACCACAAGGTTTATATACAGGTTTTGCTATGGTGTTTGGAACCATATTCCATAAGAAAAATAATTCAATTCATCCTTATTTACATTAATGGTCCCTTTGACAGTGAAGAAATCTCAAAATCATAATAACCTGAAAAATGCTGGAGTACTTAGACTAAAAAAACGCAGTTTCATCTTGCATAAAATGTTGACTTGGTTTTGCACTGTTCTTTCTCTAAAAGCGAAACCATGACGTCATTAGCTGCTGAGTGCTGTTGAGATGCATTTCTCGGTAGATAAGATGTTTAGAACATTTAAAAGTGATGCGGTATGTACAGATGTTGATCCATTTTTAGCATGATCTAGAGTGGTGTAGGTTGGCTTGTGAGCTGCACAACTGTAAACAGGAGTAAACAAATTAAAAATCCAGAAAATAAAACTTTCACACAGATAATCTTGCAGTAATCTTGACAATTTTACATTTTTCACTTTTTTTGTCAACAGGAACCCAACACGTGGGCAGATCTCACCTAATCGTATTGCATCCTGATTCACACATCTTATTTGATCGGTGTAAATATCTAATGTCACATTGTAAGATGACAGTACAGTATGCACAGCATAGTTCAGGAATATCTTCATTTTGTGGGCTTTCCCAACACTGTATTCAATTAAATTGACGGATGAAATTAGAATGCAACATGATGAGGTGTCTTGGAGTTTCATACTGCAGTACAGTGGCTCTGTACTGTACGATAACACATGCGGAATCCAACTGCATTTTCACACATCACATGTTACAATGAACAATTCACGACATGATAAAAATAGTAACCTCCCTCACACAGAGCAGTCACGTCGACTGGTGGAAACTGGATACATATATATATTGTATATATATTTACTGTAAATACATGTATATATATATACATATATGTACTGTATGTATATATAGGTAGCAGTTAGATTAGCAGAGTAAATGACAGCTACATACTGTAATTCCAAAAATATGCAGACAAAGGTGACTGCATCACTAGCACAGATTTGTGCTAGTTTGGAGATTGATGTTTCTCTTATCACTTAAGAAAAGAGAGTTACTTGAATAAATATTACCTAAACATTAGCATTTTTTAATATCAATCTCCTTCTGCAGCCAACACTGTAGTTGTGTGCTTCATGGAATGGGAATAATTAAAGAAAAAAGACACACCTTATTCCACCATGAATGTCATCTGTGATACAGGAACATCCTCACAATCGAGCATTCATAACAAAAATATTAAAAGAATAGCAGCAAATGTCGTCATGTTAAGCAAAACATGGATTGAAATAACAAGAACAAATGTTGTGCATTTTAAACTTATTAATAATAAAAATGAATACATGATTATCACAAAGGCAAATTCAGGCTTGGCAAAATTGACTTGCAAATAATAACAATAATTTAAAAAACAAGTTGGATGTCTCACTGGGCCGCTGAATCAATATAAAAAATAATAAGAAAAAGAATAGTTTGGGAGCAACAATAATGAACCTTCATGTTGAGCAAAGGACAAGAATGACTTAAAGCGCAGCCTTTAACAACCAAACAAGCACTGCATAGCCCTTCAAAGTACTATCCGCCCCAGTACCACTTGTCAAGGTTATTGAAGGACTTGTATTCCTTGTGTCTACGCAGATAATCACAAGCCAGGCATGTGTGCTCTGCCCAGAAATAGGCCTTCTTTACTTTAAAGTGCCGCCTCCACTCAAAGTACCTGAGGTACATTTCCTCGTTCTTGTCCAAGAGCAGCAGGTATTCGGCCAGCTCCTTGGGCGAAGTGAAGTCGTCCACGTGGATGAAGGCGTCTCCCTGGATAAAGTTCTCGTAGTTTTGCCTGGGCGGCCCGAGAACCACTGGCACTGAGCCCACGGACAGCGGGTTGTACAGTTTTTCAGTGATGTAGTCCTTGTGAATGGAGTTCTCAAAAGCCAGGTAGAACTTGCAGCTGGCGATGGTGGGGAAGTAGTCTTGGTCCGAGATGTACTCCCCGAAGGCTTGTCCATACGCATGCACCTCAATGTGTTTGTACAGCTCATTGTAGTACTTCACCCGCACGTGGTCCTGGTTCCAGTTGCTCACAATCCAGCAGATGAGCTTGTTTTTGCTGGGTGCGACAAAGTCCTCCTCGCCCTCCGCTGCTACAATTGACCCATAAGGCACTTCAATGTCAGCATCCTGACGGTAATTGAGAGTGAGATTGAACATATTTTCAATCCCAGGCAGCTGGGAGGAGTGTGACGGGGACTCCAGGTTCATCCATACCCACTTCTGGAAGGATGGTCGCTGGAGCGGCGGCAGGTTGGACAAGTCCGTGCAGATGTCCCGGTGGTGGATGACGACTCCATCCGACTTGTTGTAGAAGTTGCGGTCCGCTGTTATGAAGCAGCCTTCGATGTTGAAGAGAGAGCTGCACACGCCCAGGTCATAGGTTTGTCCGAACGGCCAGAGCCAGATCAGCACCGTGGTCACGTTTTTATCACTCTTGGTGGAGAAGAGGTTCTTCACCCCGTTGGTGGATGCTGTTGACTCTACAGGACCTGACAACCAGCTGGTGGATGGTTTAAAATACATCAAAAACAGAGTCACAAAGCATCCCAGTACAAAAGTGCCGAGCAGAAGGGGTCGTAGGATTCTGTGAAAAGGTGCAGATGGCATACTCTGTCCTGGAACACAAGAAGAAAAAGCTAGATTTAAGTCCTGAGCAAGAATATTCAGAATCCGAACCAATCCGTGATCATGCACAGGTATAGCATGTTACCGCCATGGGTTGATGACTTTGTGCCTCAATTAAATGCAGTTGTGAGTTTGTGATCTACATGTAAATAAAGTGCTACTGTGATAAAGTGTTTTCTTGCCGTTATCTTTGAGCATGCACCCTGCGCTGAGTTACGCACATGTTGATTTGGATCAATATTCATATAAAAATGTATTGCCTCCTGTGGATCATTATAATACAAACCTGGTGGATTCGACTGAATGCTGAAATCCAAGCAAGAGTAGAGGTTGTGGGAATCTTAGGGAGACGTTCCTACATTGGGTTGACGATGGGATCAATCTTCTTTGTGATACAGTGCTCATAGACCAAAAAACAAGGTCACGGCTAAGAGATGCCCCTTTGCTCTCATGCAGATTAACAATAATCCTTAATGATCTAATGGGATGCGTTTGATCTTGAAAGCACAGGTCTTCTTAATGACGCCTCCTTTACGTGAACATAGAGAGAGAGTCAGAGAGAATAAATTAGAGCTAGAGAGACTAAACCACAAAAAAGCACACATGGGAGGTCAAATGCAATCAGCATGCAGAGCAGAGCTTCTTCTCAGCAAACAAATCTTTTAGATTAGCTTGAAAATAAAATGAAAACACATAGGTTATTGCAAAATTTCCAATTAAATCATGAATGTTATTTCAGATGTGTTAGTTAAGCATAGATGTAGGCTTCCAGCTGGTTTGAGTTTTTGGCATGGCACGGTAAGAGACTGCTGCCATCTTAAGGCTGGGGAGAGTAGAAAGCCCCCCCGACTCCAGTTCATCACACATGCATGTTGCATCAAGAGGCAGTAACAGACCCTGTTCCATACCCCACTGAACATATTTAAATCAATAACACTCCAACATTTATTTTGATCACCGTTTGTGCAATATGACATATGGGTAATGGGATTGGCCGTAGGTACGACAGCACCCCTTGATCTCCCCATCTGTGACATACAGAGATCTGCCTCCAAAGGCCACATAAACCAGAGCCCGATGAGTATATTCCTTTTGAAGACTTGCAGTATCAATACATTTTTATGTAGGCAAATCCTCTTACATAGATGTATCAAGCTTTAGTAGTGATAAGCTCTTTGCTTTTCTGAGGTTGCAGCCCTTGCATACTTCATGCCGTGTGTGGTGCTGTCAGATTGATTCAGTATTCCGTGCAGTGTGCAGTGGTTTTGAGTTTAAAAATCAGGCCTGTTAAATATGCATTGTGTGGTAAAGTTAGTGTCTCCATGGTGACGGATCGTGCTGCGGTCATTGTAGAGTAACATCGCTTGCTTTCCTCTCTTCTTTCCATCTCTGCGGCAACAATAGAGTCCCGAGTGAGCAGCTCGAGCACCCATCAGACTTTAAATAACATAACTTGGGTTTTATTAAATGCATTGTGATGTATTTGGGACGGAGCACCGCATGGGTGAGTCTGCAGCAGGGATACGTTAGAATAACTGGAGAGAGGCACAACCACAGATTTAGCATAGTCAATCACAGAGATGCATTACATTCCTGACGTGGTTTTAATAATAACAGGTAGGGCAGAAGGGGAGCACCCTTGTCCTTGTACTTTGATGTATGTGTATCCTGTCATGAAAGTCACAGCACTGATTATAAAAGGACGTCCATCCCAGGTGAGAATGCATTTCCAGCCACAGAGCACTGAAGGTCATTTTAAACTGGGATGCTGTAGTCGAACCGCCGTTTAAAATGGTTGTCTTTAGGCGTTGACTGTGCATCGGTGAGAATATTGAAAGATTCATATTCATATGTGCTGCCTAAACACGGCGCTGCTTGTGAGCACCAAAAGCGCGCAGAATATAAATAATAGTGTGGAGGATGCTAGTGGAACAACGGAGCCTATACTGTATGTGCTATGCAGACACAGCTGGGAGTGCAGTGATTTGTAAATGGGGGATCACGTTCACTGAGGGAAAAACACACACACAGCATGCACTGTCCAATGCATTGAAAATGTATACGAAAAAAAAAAATCACACACAAAAAAATGAACACACCAAGGACAACGGGGGAAGCGCTGGTCAGCGATCGTACGGCGAGAGCGCGCTTCTAATTAGCCGGTGAGGATTCGCCGTCAGGTACCACTGCTCAGCCATGGGGTTGCAGAGGGGATGGTGGTGGATGGGTGAGGGGACGGCGGGGGGAGGGGGGGGGGACAAGGAGAGGGGGATGGGAGGGGCGGTTGACAGCCATGCATTTCACTCACCATCTCGACAGGCGTGAGTCAAAATAGACCTTTCTTCTCATGTCCTCCATGGGGTCCGTGCGCGCGCCGTTCAGAGACACCTCGCAACGTACGGGAGATGCGGGTGCGTCTGGAATAGAAAGTCGCGCCCGCCCGCCGTATTTGCAAGAAAGGATCCGGGTGAGCCCACATCCATCGTCTTGATTCCCCCCCCAAAAAAAGAAGAAGAAAAAAAAGATACCTACTGTGGCAATGTGCGCTGAATCTCCCCCCCTCCCTCCCCCCGCCCTCCCTTGCCGCTGTGCACCGACGCGCAGAACGAACCAAAAAAAACAAAAAACACAGGAGAGAAGAATTGGCTGCTACCTCGTCAGCCCGCACACCAAATGCAAGGCTCGGTGTGCGTGGACGCCATGTACGCCCGGTGGTGTGATGCGATGTGGAATAATTCCCTGCTGGCTGCCCATGCGCTACCTTGCTCTGTTTACCGTCAATGCAGCTGCAGGCTGTGGCGGAGATCCAGTGTGTGTGTGTGTGTGTGTGTGTGTGTGTGATGGGGAGGGAGGGGGGGGGTTCAGCGTTAGTGCATATTACACTTCAGCCATCTCCTTTGAATAAACTGGTGATTCATTGCTGCCGCGGCTCAAAAGGTCCCCTCTCTCTCGGCCTCTATCTTTGATATAATAACACTATGATGGGAGGTGTGGGTGAAAGTGGTTTAAGCCAAATGCTGAACTATAATCGCCTGGTTTTATGTAATTCAATGTGGCACATATGGGTGCTTGAGCTTTAACATCACAGTTTATGCCTCTTTAACTAATCGTTTGAGGTGGCAGTCCTGCAACGTGTCAGTGCTCTTCCATAAACTAGTGAGACATCATTAAACCAGGAACAAAAAAAAAAAAGTCAAATCAAAAGTAGAGGGGAGACATCGCTGCTTTGGGTCCCCTTCTGTGGGTCTAGCTCCAAAAACACTTGAACCTCAAATACCCATAATGCAACTCAACGGACTTCCATTAGACGTACTCTACTTGCTGGTAAATGCCCACGGCTTCCCGACTAAAAGCTCTGAAACCCACTTTGCATCATCTACTCGGCCTCAAACGGAGCGGACGGACAGAGACACCGTAGCTGGTGAACACAGTGGAGCATTTAGCAGCTCGAGAGCCAGATGTTTCCCTCAGCGTTCGTCGACCAGAGTCCAAACTGGGAGGGGAACAACATTGGGGTTTACTTGGTGACCTTATTATGCTGTTGGTTGGGAAAAGAAGCGATGAACTTGAAGTGCTACATAGACCCCATGACATCACGCACTAGGCACAGTGCATGTTTCTCTCTCGGCATCTGTTTCATTAGCTGAGCTGCAGAGTTTAGGTTCCCCAAATTTTTTCTCTTGCATTTTTGTTGTGAAGAAGACGAGTGAACGTTACACCAGCAGAATGCTTTGTTTACATTTCCTCCTCTCCAGGGTGCATTTTATTTATTGAAGTTTAATACAGGCATAGATTTGAACAGCTTTAGTTGGATACTTTTGTGGGTGATAAAACATGCTGACTACCTTACAAAACAAAAAGGAGCAAGGATGTGAAAACAAGTAATAAGACATCAGTTAAATTAACAAATATTTACCCAAGTGCAAAGAAATCACATAAATTATTGCAGCCAGAACGAAGATCATTTAGTTGCCTGTGGCTGTAAAAATCAGTTGGCTCAGAAAATGTTCCAGCATTTGCATTTTGTTGCATATTCTGCAGCTAGAACTTCATATGGTTTTCATGTAATCATTTAATACAACCATGAACAAACATTTGCTATGGCTCAATCCTGCCATTTATGTCGCTCGCCACCAAAAATCGATGCCCATTTGCGAGTTATCTCCAGGTAGATTGCAGGTTTATTGGGCAGGTAGTCCAGATACACAGTCTGGCCTGTTTTTGGAACCGCCATTTCAATCTGGGACCCCTCGTGCCATTCATTAAAAGACGTGATAGAGATGAAATCAGGCCTGGCTTGCAACGCAGCACTCAGCGAGGTTTCGTAGTATTTGCCGTTGATGCGGTTTCGAGTGTTTTGGAAGTTCCAGGGCCGAATGCTCGTGTCGATATACCCGGGGCCCACACTTGGGATGAAGATCAGGTTGTTGTCTTCACAAAAAGCTTTAATGGACTCCCAGTTCCTCTGAGTGGACCCATAAGAAAACCCATTGGTGGCAAAGTAGGTGTAGAGACCATCGAAACCGGCCGTCAGGATATCCCTCTTATGTTTCTCCTCGACCAGCAGGGCGATGAAGATGGCGTCGTACGGGGTATTCCTGATGCTGTTGCTCTCCGTGTGCTTGAGCAGCTTGGCCCACTGCTCCGAGTTGATCAGGTAGGAGTCGTACACATAGAAGAGGGGAAGAAGCTTGCCGGCGTTGGTCCGGTACTTGAAGAAGGCAGGGTGCTCCCCGTATCTGAGAGGAGGAGATAAACAACGCGAGGTGAACGGGCCGACAAGGGGAAGTGGCACAGGAATGAAAAATCAGACACACAAATGTAAATTACATACATATATATATATATGTAATTTACAGAAGAAGTGTTAATATTATTATTATTATTATTATTACTAACAACACTGCAGAAACCCACTCACTTATCAATGATGTACTTGACATTAGCGAACATGCTGACTTCATCTCGGTCTTTGTACGGTTCAATGTGAAACGCCACCTGCAAACAGAGAAACCGCAGCAACGCAAAACCTTTTCATAGACAAGAATGATGTCTTTTCAATAAATCAGTCTACTACACAACAAAAGGCTGCAATCTTCACACGGACCTTAATGTGGTACTTATGAGCCACTTCCAACAGCAAAGGCACAATGTCATCCACTGGCTCACCGTTATCGTCATTCATATTAGGAGGATACCATGAAACACCAAGGACACCTGAGTGGATACACAGTCACAGTTTGAACATGAACACGATAGAAATAAAAAAAATTGATAATTGTTCAGAAATATTAAATGTTATTCCTATAGTGTAATTGCGCTGCAATGAGAGTACATGAGTAGAGGTAATACAGTATGGACACAAATTATTAAACAATAATGTTCCTGATATTAGTCAAAAATATGGATCGTTTGTTAAATCATAACATAACTTTCAATTCGTCTCAGCTAATTTAAATCCCTCGTATTTAAGACGAGTGACAAAGGGATTCTAGAAAATACACTAGAACAACAAAACGTTATTCATGGTTTAAGGTGATTTGGATGAACGCGGTCAGAATTGATCCATAGCATCACAGAAATGGTTTCATTGGAAAGTGAAAATGTTAAAATGTGTAGAGAAATGTCAGTCTCACCAATGGCTGCTGTGCGCAGCTGCTGCATATGAGACTCTATGACGGAGGGATCCCTGGAGCTGTAGGCCCCCAAAGAGGGGTAGAAATTGGCCCCGATGTCATCAGGTGGGATGTGTCTGCCTTGCGGATACCCTTGAGCCACCTTCAAGTCCCAGTGCGGCAGCTGCGGGTGGTTCCAGTGGATGTACTTGCCGTCAAACTTGGGGTTCCCATACCAGACGTAGTAGAACGCATGGAGATAGTAGTTTGGAGGCGGGAACTTCCTCAGCGCCCCCTGCAGTTTGTCTGACCGGTCCGACTCGCCCATTTTGGACCGGTCAGGTGTATCGTCGTGTTCTTCGTTTATCGGACTGCGATTTTTTTTGTCCGGTAACAGCTGCACGCCGACGGGGCTGATGAACGGAGAGTCCTCCGGCGTCAGCGCCTTCAACACTACCGTGAGCGTGAGCACAAGCAACACCAAGACAACCAGCGCGATGCAAGTTTTGCGCCTGAACCTCGCCATTGTTCAGTCGGTGCTGGAGGATCTCCACAGGTCATTGTTGAGACGGCAGGTCGGGATTGTTGTTGTGCAGGACGCCATTGAAGCGCCGTCTGCGAGGTTTTTGTTCAGCCTGGAGGTTTGAGGAAGAAAAGAAGAGAGGCGTTACAAAAAGACAATTTACAATTATTTTCGCTGAGAAAATGCCAATTGTAATTTTCAATTACTCAAAAGTGACATTTTCCACTTCCTTGTTTGCCTGACCAACAGTCCAGACACAAAGATCTTTAAATGATGATCTTTAGATCGTTAAATGGTGTGATTAAGGAGTATTTTCCTAATTATTTTTTGATTTAGAGCTGTATTACTTAGATATCAAGGTAATGCCTGAAAAACTTAAAGATAAAACTATAATATTAGAAAAGCTGCAAAATGAATACATTTCCAGATTTGTAAAGAGTAATTTTCAAAAATTAACTAATAAACTTCATGAGGTTTTCTGTGGGGCGACTACGACTAGTTCAGTTAACTATACATCACATTGTACCATTTTTGAGTCTGCAACAATCACATGATTGGCTGTTTGGTTGGATAAATGTTAACAATCTCGTTGCCAATTATCTATAATCTTTAAAATTATTATTTAAAGAGTCAGGGGTAACAGTGTATCGACGTTCAATCATACAAAGCGACTAGCAAACACTTCAGAAACGCACTCGGAGACAATTAGCAGGCTAATGAGGTTAGCTAACGCTACTTGCGTTGATGCACTTCTGACCGGTCAACGGCGGTTAAGCATGACAGCGGTGACACAGTATTAGTTTTAGCGTCCTCGTTTCCGTATTAAAAGCGGGCTCGTGGAAGCACGACACATGGCGTCCGAGAGTTAAACACGACCTCTCTCCGCTGCTTGGAGGACTCCTGATAAACGCTGACTGGGACGCGGAGGACGGGACGCGAGCGGCGCTTCTGGTTCGCAGCTTGTTCCCCGGAAGTCCTGCAAGTGTTCCCACTGCGGCTGCGCAGTGGCTGCGACCCATCCGCAATGGTGCTGGAGTCTGACCCGGTCCAGACAACGACGGCGGTTTAACTATGATCACGCACCAACTCCTACATCCCAAATGGGTTCATGCAGCCCCAATCCTCCACACTTAAAAAAAGGGAAAAGTCTATTTCTAGCTGCATTAAAATTGGACCAATGACAGAACAGTTGTTTGTTTACAATATTGAGTCCGCTGTTAAATGTTGCAGTGTGAACACACACCGAACAACGGGGCAACTGCAACGTTGTATCATTAATTCTGAATCAGGACAAAGCAAAACAACTACATAAATACCCTGAAACCCTGAAATTGAACAAATGTTCAATAAATTCCAGTTACGTGTCTTCAAAAGAGCAATAAGAAGGACGGGGACACGCGCACAGGCTCGGAGGCAGATTGCGTCATATTCCATTTACAAACAACCACACATGGCGGATAAATTATTTAAAATTCAAAATGCAAATCTACACATCACGACGGATCATGAGAGATGGGGGAATTTGAAATTACTTCAACACAGTAAACCACGTAAAGAACAAATAGTGACACATATAATCTCATAAACAGATAAAGGATTTCACACGCAGCGCAGGGGGCTCAGATTCCTCCGTCCCTCTCTGTCTCTCCGTCCCTCTCTGTCTCTCTGTCCCTCTCGTGACTGAGAGCTTCAGATGTCCACCTGACAGTTTCCCGATTTCAGCCTGTTCAGCATGTTTTATGAATGGTGCTGAATGAAGTTAGCTGTTAGCTGAAGTAGGCTCATGTCAGCTACTGTGTACGTAAAAGGAGGAGCTGCATTTATTTATTAAATTGTACATTTTTAATTTAAAAACCCTGTTGATTTTTCACGAGTGTATTTAATGTGAATTATTACTCCATTAGACCAACATTGTGTTCCCTCTCGCGCACCCTCTGGAGGCCGCTGCCTTAGTGGTTTCAAGTGCTCAAATCCCAGGGTCTTCTTGGGCCGACACATTGGCAACGGCAGAACCAAAGGCTTCTGAGATCAGGACTCTAACTCCAACATTGATTACTTGACAACTGATGTAGTGAAGGGATGTACAGGTTTGCTAAGACAGGCTTATTGGTTCAGGTTTACCTTAACGTGACAGCCATCATACCCGGTTTGCAGAAATTATAAATATATATTAAAATGAATCAACTTAATTGATGTTTTCTCCTGCCAATGATCCTCTGGTTGTATTCAGGGCCAATTCATAAAGCCCTGAACTGGACCAAGAAGCGTTTGTGGGACACAATCACTTTTATCAATAGGACATCCACCTTTTTCAATTTCAGCTGTATGTTTAGATATAAATGTGTAGAGAAAAGTGACGTTGCAATGTCACATCGGGAAACAACAATTTCGGTTTCCATCCATTTTATTGAATTTACAGACTTTCAAACAAACTTGTACAAATTGCAAAACAGCTTTTGGTAACACCTCATCGTTTCCTTATTACCAGTGTTAGGAAATACATTAAGTGAGTAAAAAGTAAGCAATGTGAATAAAGAACATAGAAATACAACAGAAAGAATAACACAAAGAGCAAAAAAAAAGGTTAAACTGCATCTAATTTGCAATAGACTGTAGATACCTCCCTGCGGTGAATGACAACATGTTGCACCGACGAAGCAATGAAAAGCCACATTGTGAGCGGTTTGAAACTCCCATCTGATTTGTACTGTACTACTGTATTTACACACCAGGTGGCATCGCATCACATAGCATAACTATCTTTGTCCGTCCGGCCACCCACGCTCCTCCAACTCCTACAGTTTTCATTCCCCAGAAGGGATTTGGGTGATGCGACAGGAAGATAGCATTCGTTTTACTTTTCATTATGTACTCTATAAACACTGCTCTAAACAATTCAAATACTGTGGAGCATTATGTCAAGCTAGACTTATTTTAATATTTGGTTGTCTTTACACTGTACGGCCTACTTAGATACGTTAAACACTACAAAATTGAAGCAGTGCTGTTAAGATAATTTCTATCCTTCTTCATACAAACACTAGGAATGGACAATTTTTCAAGGACTTGTAGTACACCATATATCCAGAGGATAATACCGAGGGAAATGATCTTGCTGAGAACTAATGGTGAATTAAACCTGGAAAATGTCAATACCGGCTCTGTGTGGGGGGCGGCAGGCTTTTGTGATGTTGAGGCACAGGGAGGCACAACGCAGCGGAGGAATCAATGGCCACGGGGCGTTTGGTTTCGGGAGGTTTCGGGAGAGTCCACTGCCAGCAGCATCCGAATTATCCTCTATACTTCATTCAAGCCGGCCTCTTCACATTCTTTGCTTCTCGTTGGGGAGGTGCAATTTTTTCAGGTGTAAATACATCAAATGTGTCCCTGCACAACCACCGCTGTAATGAGTTTGAACTGTTAAACCCAAATACAGGAAATCTTATTTGGGTCAATGGATTTAGCACGGATATCTCGGTGTCATTCAAATCAATTGGAAGGATTCTCTCTGCTTTTCTGAGAGGTCAAGGCAAAAGAACGTTCAATCTGTTAAACTGAAAAACAGTCACTTTGCCCCTCTACACAAAGACGACACAGATCCTCAGAAAGCCCCCAATGGCATCGGAATTAAAACCACAAACAAGAGAATCTATTAATGATATTAGAAAAATACCGACACACAAGCAGAACAGTAAAACAGATTGGTCACGGCAAATTTATGTACACATACACATTAAGAAAAGAGCTGTCAGTGGAATTGGGGATGCGGTGGGCGAGTGGGGAGAAAGGATTTGGGCAATTAGATAAGCCCTGTATCTTCGCTATACAGGGGAGTTACAGGGGTTGCCGTGGTCGCAGAACAGGATCGAACAGGGGGAGAGGGGGGGGCGGGGGGGCAAGGCAAGGCTGCACGTTCACCTCTTCTTGGGGGCTTGGGTGGTGCGGGGCGGGGTGACGGGCCGACCGGAATTCACACCACCGTACTGGTACTTGGCCTTCTTCTCTGAAGGCTTCAGGATCTTTAAACGAAGACAAAAGAGCACAGACAGAGAAGGTGTACGCGTTGAGTGTCTCTGAGAGAAGTCAATGCGCATTAACGTGCACAGCTTCAGAATACCTGGAAGGAGCACATGAGGGATTCATCAACGCTCATCATGCCGCCGGCGTTGTCAAACTCCCCGCAGTAGTTTGGAGCAGAGAAAAGTGTGACCAGTTGGCGTTTGGCAAAGAACTCATAGCCATCCTCCACAACCTGTTAGAAGACACATGACATTATTCCCCCGCCTACAGCGATCAATGCCAAGGAACAGATCTTCAGCTGGTTTCAGAATCCAAATCGGCTAGTGTCCGTTACTACCCACACTTAATATAAAACGCCCAACGCAGAGGCAAAGGAGCTGTAACTGAAAAATGATCCATCCCAATTAACTGCATTTGTGTATATGTCCTTCAGGTTTATAAGTCAGACGCAAACAGATTATCTCATCTATTTTATAACATTTTAATAAAATAAAAAAGTGACAATAACTGAGCGTTAACCAAAGTCATAATAAATGATTCATTGGGAAAAGGAGACATGCAGTTGACTAAAGTGCGACTCTAGTCAAAGACACACAAACTAATGCATGTAACCTCTCATTAAAATGGGTGGAAAATCAATCAATGTAAATTGGCTCGCGTGCATTCCCTGCATCCAAGCGCTCTTCTTTCATCCCCTTCATAATTACCTGGTGGGCTCTGCAGATGAGGTCCAGGTCGTGGCGGTTTAAGAACTTGCTGACCACATCTGCTCCGAAGGTGAAGGAGACCCCGCGGTCGTTCTCGCCCCAACCTTGTACATCCTTATCTGGGTCGGACCACAAAAGGTCACACAGGAGGCCTGCGACACACGATGAGAGGAGAGATGGAGATTTGTTATTCTGACCAAAGGAAGGAGAATGTGCTAAAGACCCAGCTGACCTTGCTGAGGGAACACAGCCGGCGTACTGACGTTAGAGTCTAATTATCCTTAGGGAACACACAGTACCTGTATCAGGGACGTCCGTCGGCCTCATGATCCTTCGAATCTGCTCCATCGACTGCAAATCAGGCGAAAGCCCTAAAACAGAAAATAAAAGAGGTTACTTTAGTTTCTGCAACCGTTGACAAAATAAAAGGAGATTCAACGAGTGCCAACAGCTCCATCACCTCCATGGCAGCAGAAGATCTTCTCATCAATGATAGCAGCAATGGGGAGGCAGTTAAAGCAGTCAGTGAAGGTCTTCCACAACTTTATGTTGAACCTGCGCTTGCCTGGTGAAACAAACAAAACGCACATTGTTAAAACCAGACGATACACCCTTTTCCCGTTTGTGCGTTTAGGGTTGGTTTGGTTTATCTCCACTCACACTCATCGTAGAAGCCGTAGATGCGGTTGATGGAGGCACACTCGTGGTTGCCCCTGAGCAGGAAAAAGTTCTCTGGGTATTTGATCTTGTAGGCCAGCAGAAGGCAGATGGTTTCCAGGGACTGTTTCCCTCGGTCCACGTAGTCTCCCAGGAAAAGGTAGTTGGCCTCCGGAGGGAAACCGCCATACTCAAACAGCCGCAGGAGATCTGTGTATTGGCCGTGGATGTCACCTGAAGAAAGAGGCCGAGGCATCAGATACAGCGGTGACGAGCTTTGGGAAGAAGAGGGAAATGACGCGCGCTGCCTCTTATCTCTCTGAATCCATTTTGATATGCAGAGCACAGACAAGCAGGTTGGTGATATTTGTCTGTGCCCGTGCTTTAAGGACTACTATCTAGACGCGCAAAAGGAGCCATTCCAACTCAAGAGCCATTCTAGTTTGGGCCAAGTGTTCCAGGCGGAGGCGACTGCCGTGAGCCTCCCCAAAAAGTCTAGCGCAATAATAACAGCCTTTATTTTGGACCAAAATGGGAATCTAGTTTACACGCTTTTCATTCCAAAGTGGCACCAGATGAAATAAACGGGCGTGTTGTGATTTGCAGTCAGTCCGGAGATTAAAATGACCAACAGAAATACCAACTTTCTATCACATGGAATTTGGCATGATTCTTTTGTGTTCCCGAGCCCAAACCACCGCTGGCATACAACCTATACGCCAGCAAAGCGCTCATTATTTTTGCGTGTCTTAGGATGCCATATAAGAACTTCCTGCTCCGTGCAAATGAACGATTAAAAGAACGGCTCAGATCGTTTGACGTCCAGCTCGGTCTAATGCCCAGTGCCGGTTTGTTTGTCTATCGCCATTCATCATTTTCTTTGCCCTGGACACACACACACACACACACACACACACACACACACACACACACACACACAGCTGGCGATGTGAAGTTTTGATGCAAGTACTTCTTCACATGAATAATACAATACAGAAAATGCAATGAAACAGGTCTTAAACTATTAATACAGCGCTCCAGCAACGTAGTCCAGTTCATAATCTGCCAGTAAAAAAATCAGGAAAGCTCGAGAGGGAAACATCTGAGGAAATTGTGGTGTGAATGCAGATTTGCAGAGTTATCAATGAGTTTGGATTTAGTTTCTTTTAAGCAAAGACCCAAATGAGTCGCGGTTTCTTTCAATCGTCTGGCAGAACCACAGAAACAGACTGTGGGATTCTAAAGGAGATTGTTCTTGTAGAAGGTAGGATGGGAAAAGACTCTCTAGCCTGCAGACTTCTTTTCATCACTTTTAGGACCCCGTTTCCTGAGAGCCATTTGGAGCATACGGCTTAAGGAGATCGAGCAGGTGGGAAGGGTTGTGTCCGCGTACATTTTAAAGTACACGGACAGGAAGTCGGCGACCGTAACAATAAGCTGTTTTTCACAGCAGCCATTTTGGGTTTGTATTGGTATCTTTAAAAAGATAAAACATACCAACAACGTAAGAAAGATTCTGAATGTAGTTTTCTACTGACAATATAAATAAGTGGAGAAAAGCCTGAACATGTGCTGCACTAATTAGATCTAAATCGCCGGTGTTTGTGTGTGTGTGTGTGCGCGGTGGCAACTGCGAAGTGACTCCTCGCCTTACAACTTAGGATGAGGCACCTTTCTCATTCAACTTCTTTATGTGAGGATTTAGGACCCCTGGGAAACACATTGTATGAATTGTGTGTGTGTGCGCAGCAGTGTCACAATGCGAGCATGGATGTAGGTCAGAAAATGAGTCCTGTTGTAATGTTTGGTGCAGTTACTCGGAGTGGAGGTATGAATGAGTACATAATCCATCCATCCATCCATCCATCTTCAACCGCTTATCCGGGGTCGGGTCGCGGGGGCAACAGCTCCAGCAGGGGACCCCAAACTTCCCTTTCCCGGGCCACGTCTACCAGCTCTGACTGGGGGGATCCCAAGGCGTTCCCAGGCCAGTGCAGAGATATAATCTCTCCACCTAGTCCTGGGTCTTCCCCGGGGCCTCTTCCCAGCTGGCCGTGCCTGAAACACCTCCCTAGGGAGGCGCCCAGGGGGCATCCTCACCAGATGCCTAAACCACCTCAACTGGCTCCTTTCGACGCAAAGGAGCAGCGGCTCTACTCCGAGCTCCTCGCGAATGGCTGAGCTTCTCACCCTATCCCTAAGGGAGACGCCAGCCACTCTCCTGAGGAAACCCATTTCGGCCGCTTGTACCCGTGACCTAGTTCTTTCGGTCATGACCCATCCTTCATGACCATAGGTGAGGGTAGGAACGAAGATTGACCGGTAGATCGAGAGCTTTGCCTTCCGGCTCAGCTCTCTTTTCGTCACAACGGTGCGGTAAAGCGAGTGCAATACCGCCCCCGCTGCTCCGATTCTCCGGCCAAACTCACACTCCATCTTCCCCTCACTCGTGAACAAGACCCCGAGGTACTTGAACTCCTTCACTTGGGGTAAGGACACATTCCCTACCTGGAGTAGGCAATCCATCGGTTTCCTGCTGAGAACCATGGCCTCAGATTTAGAGGTGCTAATCCTCATCCCGACCGCTTCACACTCGACTGCGAAACGCTCCAGTGAGAGTTGGAGGTCACAGACGGAAGATGCCATCAGGACCACATCATCTGCAAAAAGCAGCGATGAGATCCGCAGCCCCCCGAACTGTAGACCCTCCTCCCCCCGACTACGCCTCGATATCCTGTCCATGAAGACCACAAACAAGATTGGTGACAAGGCGCAGCCCTGGCGAAGGCCAACCCCCACCGGAAACGCCTTCGACTTACTGCCGAGCACCCGAACACAGCTCTCGCTTTGGGCGTACAAGGATTGGATGGCCCCAAGCAAGGACCCCCTCACCCCGTACTCCCGCAGCACCTCCCACAGTATCTCTCGGGGGACCCGGTCATACGCCTTCTCCAAGTCCACAAAACACATGTAGACTGGATGAGCATACTCCCAAGCCCCCTCTATGATCCTGGAAAGAGTGAAGAGCTGGTCCGTTGTTCCACGACCAGGACGAAAACCGCATTGTTCCTCTTCAATCCTCTACATAATGCGGAGTAGAAAAGTCAACTGTACATTGTGATGTTAAAATGAAGCATCTATGTTGAACAGGTCGGACGGAGAAGAATGGCAAAAGATGAGGCGGAATAATAATAAGCATTTTGTAGGAGAGCATATGTTGTGGATGCAGCAACTTTTTAATTACTGTTTTAGTTGGCGTTTCAGATCCTATTCTGAGTTTTAACTTTTATGGTAGGTCAGTGAATATTCCTACCTGCCATTTAACTTAAATTTGGTCTGCTACTTCAAATCTGCAAACCGCCGAGTCAGAGACAGCAGAAATATGGAGAATGTCATGGAACATAAATTCCTGACCATTTCTAATTTGTGGAAATTATGTTTAAAAACAATATTTCTGGATACAAGCAAATGCCTGTCTGCATGTGGACCTGAAAATGTTTACAGCCCACATTGACCCTGTATTTGGCAGCACACAGGCACGGATTTCAGTTCTATTGCAAAAAACACTTCGCTCGTCTTTTCGTGTTCCACAACTTCACAATTGCAAAATAAACTCTGTTGTGCTAATCTAAGTAAAGCTGAAGGCAGCAAATACAAAAATGATGAGTTTTCTCGCCAGGGCAGGTTAAAAGCATCACACACACACACGACCACAGAGTAAATATACAGGACAACAGCAACAACAACACCTGCTTGCGCCAAAACAAAAATGGACACGGAGCCATTTGCTCAGCTACTTTAATAGCAGTTTGCTAGAAAATGGCAACAAATAGCAGCCCATTTGGGTAGAATGGGACACACGGGGACATGGCAGCACAGACTGTAATCTCCGCACGGACAGTTTGGGGTGAGTCAACTTTGAGGGAGCAGAGCAAACAACATTTGATTGGCTGTCTAATTTGGTTATCTGGTTAGTTTTACTCTTCCCCACTAAGAGTTACTGCGGGACTGAAGGGCAATTTTTGTGCTTTCTACAGAGCAGGCAGCCCCCCCCCCTCACCCCTCACCCCTCAAACGCGATTGTAGGATGAGAGTGAATAATTTACTCTGCGCTGACTGCAGTGGTAAAAACCACGGAGAGACGCAGCTCTGAGATGGAAGGACTGAAAAGCTGAGCAAAAGGCTGAAAGTCAAAAGAAAAAAGGAGCACATCCCCGAAGTCAAGGTGATACGTGAATGTGATGTCTCTGATAACAACAAAATATAGAAATAACGGTGACAATGGAACTTTAAAGTAATACACAGTAGGACTTCAACGTGTGTTTCTGGGCAAAGAAAGATTCGACCACACGAATAAATCGATCACTAATAACGAAACAAACGATAACGTGTGTGCATTCTGAAAGTAACGGCCATCACATGATTCATTTACCATCAGCACACTTGTGCTAAAGGAACAAAGATAAAATAAGATGTGTTTCTGCCTGACCTCTAGCCAATAAACAGGTTCCAAAGCAGCCACATGAAAATGAATCACTGCTGGGAGGAAAACAAATGCTGCTCACAGTCCATTCAAAGACGAAAAAAATGTTAATGTTAAAATACTTTATACCATGTCACATTAGTTATGCAGTATTTAATACAAAAAGTCAATAAGAGAAGAAATGAAAAGAGGGTGCACCTTTGCTCAAGAGGACAAATGTAACAATGTGTAAAGAATGAACACAAAGGACTTTGCGAATGTAAACAGGCTTTTCATTGTGATTACAATTTACTTATTATAATCTTGATTATTGATGATAATCAAGAGATCCTTGATCCCTTTTGCCATTTAAAAATGCCGTTGTGCAGATTATAAACCGTTCATGCCACTTTTACGTCGGATCGTGTGTGAAAATGTTTCGATGGACAGCAGAATGCAAACCTACACATAAACAGCACACACATAAGCGCGCATTCAAATCCTCACAAAGAGGGCGGGGCTATTTGTCACTGCACAAGGAACACTGTGCATAAAATAAATTGTAACACGTGTGAATAAAAGACGAAGCAGAACAGAGTCAAAGCTGCCGGCTCGGACAAACGTACGCCAAGTGGCAGGAGGGCCGTCGTGTGAGGGAGCGCGGCGAGCGCGGAACCCGATCCACGTGGCCCCGGTAAATCATTTAAGCGGTTCACTGTTTGGTCGTCATGTACAGTGATGGGGTTCGGTAAGGCACACCATCACGGCCGTTGGAGGTAAGGCAGTGTGGGGAGAGGGGGTCCCGCAACAAAGCGAAGTAAAAGGAACCCCACTCAGTGACACAATAACACCGCCTCCAACGCATGCCTGTTTCAGTAATACTTTGGGGTGATATGACAGTGCTAAATCCACATGGACGAAGCCTTTAAGGAGATTATTTCATAGAAAACAAACATAACATCATAACCGTGATATAATATTTGACAGGAAACATTACCAACCAGATCGAATTACTGCTTCCTGTTATCACGTTTACAACTTGAAATCCAAATACTGCCGTCTGAGGCTGACACAGAATCGGGTCTGCACAACAACAACAATCTCAAAGTAAATGTGTGTGGGAGGAAACTGGTATGAGAACAGCCACAAATGAACTGTGTGTAGGCTTGAGCCAATGTGTGTGCTTGTGTACGGCGTTTTTCAAGAAACGGCACATATAGTACACAGTTCGGAGTTGTTTTGCAGTTGCCACGCGGCACTGGAGGAATAAGATAAAGCCTGTGTGCGCATGTGTGTGTGTGTGTGTGTGTGTGTGTGTTGCAGCCAGCTAGAGATAATGGGGGCATTTTGAGAGATGAGAAGGAGTTCAGATTATTCTGCCTTTCCATTTTATGCACATTAAATAGCGGCAGGCATTAATGTTTAGATCTGTGCATTTCCCTTATGTATCCTTTTACTCAGGTAAAGACAATGTCCTCGTATGACCCGAGGTGAGCCGAGGCCGTCCTAGTATGTGGTTGAGTGTAAATGTCCCAGTAGAGTGTCTTATACAGTACAGAGAGCGAAAGAGAGGGGAGCAGGGAAAAGCAGGGGGTTGGGAGACAATCACCAATATACAGGGCCACAAATGTGCCGCACACTGACCACAGATCTTCAGGGGCGCCTCCAGCTCCAGCAGGATGGGCTGGCTGAGGAAGATCTCCCTGGATTTAATGCAGAGGCCCCGAACCTCCGCCTCGGTCATCTGCACGATCTTCCCCGGGCGACATCCCCGTACTGGAGAGAGGAGAGAGAAAGAGGTTAGTCATCGGCGGCGGGAGCAGCCGCTCCAGCGTCCCCCAAACTTCCTCAGAATGATACAAGAAAGGTAGAAAAAAAAAAAACTTTCAGGAGAATCCCGAGGCCACTTTAAAATGCGTTGAGCTGTGGGTGTAATGGTTGTGTAGCTCATAGATGCTAAGTCTCATCCGTACTTAGTAAACCCAGTGCTTAGACTACCACAGCAGCTTGCATCACCAGCACTGCTGTGGGCTTATTGGCTGTGTAGTTGAACCGTTACGCTAAAGACTACTTTCTGGCGGCGTGCCTCCGCTCTGCAAGCAGATTCATCTTACTACGGAGAATGGAAGAGCAAGAATTGCAAACAGGGGCTCAAGTCAATAGTTGAAATAATCAGAGAATGAAAAGTGAGATTATACATTGAAACTACTCCCTTGCTGTAGTACCTTGCAGCTTGTATAAGAAGCAAGTTAAACTTTTAGGAACTAGATGGAACTTAACTTTTTTCCCCAACAGCCTGATTAGCTAAATGCTTCTTAAGGACGGCAACAAAAAGTAGCACGTAAGGAACATCTCCACGACTTGCAATAGTCAACGTTTTTGTGTTGCCTTAAAGCCAAAACGCCCACTAAACATTCCAATAAAAGGCAACAGAGTCTTGTGAAACGAATGCACTTGAGTCAGAGAGGAAGTTTCTGCTAACGTTTCCTATTCAACTCTTGGCATGGAATGATAAAAAAAAGAACGGTGCGGTCCAAAATGGATTAACTGATATGTTGGTTAGTAATGCCTAAAGCCTCGAGCATGCTTTTATTGCACGCTGGCACACGAATGCAAACGCCTGCATCCACGTGCCATTTACACAATGTGATCCAACCAAAATCGGAGAGGAGTGAGCCGACCAGAGGAATAAACAGCCCCACAGATGGTCTATTGAAGTGCCAAAAACTAACTCTCGGGCTTCACCAACCTTACTATCCAAAAAATCAAATCCGGAAATTGCAGAAGTGGGGCTCTTCACTCAACTACCGAGCCTCATCAGAGCGGAGATAGTTAAGCTCGGGAAGCTTACTCTGCCCGGCTTTAACACACAACCTTTCCCTGCTCGCTCCTCTGCAGCTCGGCATTTAAAAAAAAAAAAAAGAGATTACGTTCCTAAGAACATTAAGGGGCAACGGCTAAAATGAAGCAATGGCAAGGATTTGCAACCATCGTTGACCAAATCACTTTGTGTGTGTGTATGTGTGTGTGTGAGAGGGACTGTACAAGAGTCTGGAGAAGGCGGCACAGTGTTTCACATGCTTTAATTCCAATAATGAATAGGCACTCTCACTGAGAGTTGGCTTTTTCTCAAGGCAACATTTTCTTCAACTGCAAAACGAACAGTAAACTATTATGCGATGTTGGGATGCAAAACAAGGTTTTAAGAGTAAGACCGTTCAAATGATCTGGTTTAGAGATTGAGCACAGAGAATTTAAGTTTCTTGGAATGGTAACTACGTGCTAAGCATCAGAAAATAACAACAACTACATGTGTCAAAGACCAAAACAGGTTGTTAATTATAGGCAATTATGTCCTTTAAAAATAATAGAAGCAATCATGGGCAGCAAATAGAAAAAGTCCTTCATCAAAAACTGAAACACAAACCAACAACTGGATAATGAAAAAGAGAAATACCTGACGTATAAACCTAGTTTAACAAACAGCAAAACATAAATATGCCAATTTAGTGACCCACCATTTTCTTTTTTTTACAGGACCATGAATGCAACGCTGAACTATTATGTGAGAATCCCATGAAATAACATATTCTGAACTAGTCATGTGCGATCACTTGTTGTGAGAGCCATCTTGCACCGACAACATCTCAGCAAAACCGATCACTCATGAGAGATGCCAAGTCCAACTCCCATTCCAAACGCGAGCGACACAATCAACAAGTCGCGGCCGTCCAAGCTGAGAAACAGAAAGAACAGCGCGTGAAGGATTAACAAGCTTTCCAGAGTTTCGCCAGCAGAAGGCCAACACAAAGTGGATTGTAGTTTCTGAACCAATGGAACAATGATGCATATTATTGATCAATTCCAACCATCTGGCAGCAATGTAAACATATAGGGGGACTGCAAGCAACACATGGCATCGGCAGTGTGACGGCTGAAAAAATGTAGATAAGAACTTTTTGTGGAGAAGCCAGAGTAACACACACTACTTTCTTCAGTCTCTTGTAATTTTAGTGGTTAATTTAGTGTTAATTTAGTTATTCACCTGAACTAAAAGATAAAAAATGGAATGTGTCTGCTTTAATCTGCCCACTAAAGACATCTAAGTAACAAAAAAGAGTGAGATTAAACAAATAAAGCTAGGATGTAGTGATGACATCCAATACAATACAACCGGGTTCTACATATATTAGAAGTTTATAAGAAAACATGCCCTTTTCCACCACGTAACCGATAGTATATCATAACAAGAACTCGACAGCGCCGGTGATGTATGGAACTGTCGTTCATGACTTTTATTTGAGCGAATAACGGATTCACGTTGACCTGCTGCGCGTTACCGTGATGACCGCCCAGGGCAGCGCCGCCTTACCGCGACACTATTTACACAATAATGGAGTCGGAACACGGCGAGAAAAAAAACATAAATGTCAGTCAAAAAGTTTAATTACACGCAGAAGCAGAGGCCGTAGCACAACGACACAATGACCCGCTCGGAGGAACGTCGCAGCTACCGCGGAAGCGCGGAGGCGTTCAGCCCGCTGCCCGTGTTAGTAAACACGGGCGGTTAGCCGGAGCTAGCCGGGGGGGAAGAGGGGAGGGGCGGGCGCGCACACACCAGTTTACCGCGGTTCAGATTGGCTGGCGTTAGCCCCCGCGAGCTAACGCGCTACCTCCCGAGCTGCGAAGAGGCCGCCGCGGCAGTTACACGGGACGGAACGGAGAGCAGCCGCGGCGGACGTCAAACCGGCGAGCCCGGAGAATGGCTGTCACAAGAGACGACCCACCTTCCAGGAGCCGAGAGATGAGGCTGTCCACGTTCAATTCACCCTCCGCCATCTTCAAACCGATTAGGTGGTGTTGGCCGGTCAGGTTCCCGTACGGACAACAGGGGGCGCTGTTGCCGTGGGAACAGTAACGTGGGGTGTGACGTTAACAACAACACTAACCACCGTTGTATTAAATGGAATTTAAAATTGAAATTAAGTTTATTTGTAACACGAGGCGATGTTGATCCCATACCAAATACCGCCCAGCACAGATAATAGTAAAACTGATATGAAGAAAAAGTATTCGGACCGTGGCCTTAAGCAGTAGCAGCCATATAACATTGACATTTTCTTTAATTATGACAAGCATGAGCAGTATAATCCTCTCTGTTAGAGTAATAGGCTATATTGTAAGCGTTATTATTGTTATCGCTGCACAAATGTGTAAAGCATCATTGCATAATATAATATGAATTATTTGTATATTGCTTTCCAGCAATTCATTACATTTTATAAAGGTATTGCATGTTTTGCTTTTGAGAGCTTCATCTTCAAAAGACTAACTTCTGCTCTAAAATAGATTTAGTTGAGTGAGAAGTACAATGATTACCAATATAAGCAACTGATGTTTTTCACCAACCACCTGACAGATGTCATCTAACTAAAATAAATACCATGATGGAGTAATAGTTTTCTTGAAAGACATTAGTGGTCTTTGTCCGAATGTCACTTCAACAATGATGCTTGATGAATGATTGCAAATAATTTATTCCCAACAACAATGAAAAACTTTCAGAATTATTGCACTCAAAGGCATTATAAAAAAAAGTCCTAAAGGATTACATTACATAAACGATTACATTACCCGCATTTCCAAGCATTTAGCAGGGTAATGATGCTGATAATATTCATCTTTCCATCCATAAAGTGCACTCCACAAGTCACGGAATATTGTGGCTGAAAGTATGACAGCACTTTCAAATACGTTTTCATCTTAAGGGTCAACTGTATTTACAAAGCCCAATTTCATTTGCCTAAATGGGCTTTACTGCACATATAATGACACCCTCTGTCCTTAGACCGTTTAATACAATCATAGCAGAGCTGATAAGTCCAGTTGTAGCCACTAATTTCAGCCTTTACTTTTCACATAAAATCTATTGTTTGATTTGCATCTAGTTTTAAGACCATCTGAAACATTGGTCACCTGGTCGAGGCTTCATGTCTTGATTGTGGAACACGGCCTCGTTATCACCGGAATCATTTTGAATATTGTTTTGTAAGTTATCGTCTTTGTTAGTCCACTGCAAAAATGGCACCTTATTAAAAAGCGGTGCCCTTCATCTCCTCTGCAAGCGGCGTCGTCTGCTTGCGTCTCTTGGCGCTGCAGGAGAGGAAGAGCCAGGTGACAACGCAGCCAATCAGAAGACCTGTTACGGCCAGTACGGCAGCGAGCCACACTGGCACATTTTCGTTGCAACGGGCCACGCTGTTAACTTTTGTGAAGATGTAAGGATGCTCCTGGAACGCACACAAGAGGAAAGAGGCCTTCTTTTTAATCAAACACACTTTTATCAAGCATTATTGCAAGAATGCACAAACTGCATACGGATAAATCTCAAGTGGGTCGGTCGTAGCAGGTGAGAAGTGCTTGTGCGGCTGCTTCCTTACCTCAGTGGGACACTTGATGTTATTTCTGGTGTTTGTGAAGTTGTTGTACGTCTGTTTTTTACCCACTGGTTCCAACTACAGATAAAAACAGAGGGCAGTTTTGCTCAGACCAGGAGGTAATTGCAGAGAATTGTGGTTATCTAGACAGATGTAGACATGAATGAGTTACTAAGCAGAGCGGCAACACGTGTTGCAAAATGTCCTTCAAAATGACACATTCCAAAAAGATGACAAACAAACACAAACACACATAAACAACCACAAAGAGACAGGAAAAGAGTTAAAGAGAGTCAACAATCACATAGAGACACAAACAGACTCACGATCACTATGATGAAGTGCAAAACAAATACAAAGAGAAATCAAAATGACCACAAGATGAAAACAACTACAAAAAAGGGCAAATGACCAAAGAACAAACAAAAAGATCAATTGCATTGTGATACTAAACAACTACAAGGATTCACAACATGACAAACGCAACAACAAAAAGATATAACAACCATAACGTTGTTATCTTACTCCTATGCAAAGAGGAAATGGGGGCCTTTGCATGTCTTTGCCCGGGGGCTGATTTCCTTATAATACATCCATGGACTTATCCTCCCCCTGTCAAAGAGTTGGCCGTTAACCGGCCGCCCTGCCGCACTCACCATGTTATTCCAGAGAGCTGAAGCCATTTCAGCGTGTCCTCGTTCACTGAAGTGGAAACAGTCCACAGAGAAGTAGGTGGTGTCGGGTCTGCCATCCTGGAGAAGAAATAACAGAATATCATGGTTCTGTACCAAAGGTAGTGTGCACATGTTCGGGGTGCGCAGGAGACCTACAGCGTTCAGAGGAAGCATGGAGTTCCTAAAAAAGGGCTGCACGACCGCGGCAAAGTCCTCTCTCCCAGCATAGCGGCCTCCGTACACCAGTTCCTCCGTCTCAAGCTGAAAGTAAGACCCCATAAGTTAAAAACAACAATAATCAATGTGAGCACAAAGAAACTTTCCCTGTTCAGTGTACAGTGTGAGTGAAATAATGATGTGCAAAACCCCTTTTTAAGGTGGACAGGTGACTTTAATTAGACGCTGGCCACATAGTTCCAGTGTGTTCACCTGCAGTTCTCGATTGATCCGTTTCATTTCAGCCAGCTCGGGGGAATCCTCTCCTGGTAGCAAGAAGCATGGGCAGACAAACCTAAGGACCAGGTGTGAAAATAAAGAGTTGATCGAAGTATAATAAAATCAAATTATCTTAGTGCTGTTTTTTTGAAGAGCCTGGGTCATTGATTCACAGATACGGTATTCTTTAATAAACACCAAATGTATTCCTCTGCCGGACTGACTAGGTATCAGATCAATGTGCTGTTTCTTTAAAGGATCAATTTGTCTTGGACTCTGTGGTCTTAATCCATGTAGAATTGATTTGGCTTGGTTTGGGTCAATCGGTCGTACTTTTGTAACACGTTGCACCCCAGGCTGTCCTTTTTGAGCCTGCGAAGGCCTTCAATTTCCAGGATCTCTAAGATGTTGACAATTGTCTTGGGAACCTACAGCCAGAAGAGAAGAAAACGTAAACCTATTTAATCTGCGAGATGAAACGATGCATTTTGTTTTCCATTACAATATTTATTAATCGATGACGTCATTATTTTACCTCCTCATAAAGCATATCCAAGCTCGTCATCAAATGACGGCTGTAGTTCTGAGGTGACATAGAGACCTGTGGTTTTGAGAAAAATAGAATATTAAAATTAGACACAGAGCTCAAAGCTTTGTATTAATCATTAATGAACATGAGTACTCTAATGCCTTTTGTTGTCACTAACAAGTCCTCCGTGCTGTGGCCACGGACGAGCAGGTTAATTAAGGCCCATTAAAAGGGAAACTGGCCAAGTTTGTTGCTAAAACGTGCAAACCAACCAGAGAGCCGACACCATGCAACATGTATGAGCAACTAACTCTAAGCTGTCACTTTCACAGTCTCACAGCTCATCTCAAATTGATGCTGTGCTTTGATATTCTTCTTTCAAAGCGCAAACTTTAAAAGAGAGATTACGCTGCGAGGGGAGTAATGGAGAGACGGGGAGATGAAAAAGCAAAATGAGAGAGGAAGAGAGGAGGAAGAAGGAGTGCTATGAGAGACAGCATGAAGAGGGCTGGGGTTGACCTCTGTGTTGTTTATGCCTCTTAGAGAACAAGGCCTGTCACTGTGCCCCGTGAGCTTGTTTCATGCAGGCAGAGGCCGCGCTAGAAGAGGGAGGGGCGGGTGTTTTGTGCGACAGAATGTGCTCATTGAAAAGAAACCACGTCTGCTCTCATCTTGCTCTGACACAATAAAACAATTAGGGGAGGGCTGCTCACAAAGCTTGATTATTCAGCTCCAGTGCACGGCGCCGTTTGGACAGTGATATCATGAGACGGCCCTACACAGGCCGCATCGCACAACACTACGGGAGATTCTTTTAACGTGGAGGGGTGCTTTGAAAATTGTCCTTCCCCCGCTGGATCCTGCTGCTTTGTGAGCACTTCTTAAAGCAACTCACCCGATCATTGCAGTACTGACACAGGTCATTGCCTCCTATAAAGAGGGTCACCAGCTTCCAGTCCTTCTCAAAATCCAAAGTCTATTTTTGTTAAAACAATGGAGATTAAAAAAAAGCAAAGATTATTTTGTTGCACATCACATTTGGGTAAAAAACAACAACATCAGTGGATGTTTTAGTATGGAACCACATATGAAACTCACAGAGTCGTTCTTCATGGTGTCGATCAGCCGTCGAACCTGCCCTGGGATTCCTCTGTGTGAGATTGTACAAGTGGACAAAAGGCTTAAAACACAAGACATGATCAACAAATTCAAACCTGCCAACAGATGGAATAAATGTTGGAACTCACGCTATTTTAGCTCCTGATACAGCCATGTTGAAGCCAGTCTGCTTTTGCCCTTGTCCCGTTGAAAACCCTTTGATGTTAGGGTTGAACTTCTTAAGGATATCTGATGTGAAAAAGTATGAACATGACTGTACAAAATACAGTTACAGTCCAAATCTGCCATCTAGTGGTTCTGCTGCGCACTATACAACAACAGAGCTATAAGATAAGGCGGAGGACTTACTAGGTAATGTTGTGACAGTCTCAAGAGTTTTGTCTCCTCCAATGCTTTTAATGAAAAACAAAGCAATGAATAAAATGAGCGTAATGCAATGTGCACGTGTGCATTCTGCATATAGATTGTGTGCAGTATCTCACCTCCATGACACCCCCTTGTCCTCAGTTCTTAGCTGCAGGAGATTGTTTGCCTTTGCACCAAAGCCAGCCTACATGCAAAGCACAGATGGTACTAGGTTTCTCTCTCTCACCTATTTAACTAAAAATCCTGTCTAAACTACAAATAATTCCACATGTGAGAATATTGTTCTGAAAGGGCGTGTGGGCAATAATGCACAAGAAAAGAAAATGCTAAACCAGTTACAGCTAAAAAGTTTCAAAATGGTATTGCGCTCTTTTATTTGCCTCGCTTGCTCTATTCCATCTCTATCAATAATGATTACATCATTTACGCAGACAAGTGTGAAGTAACGGATTAGAAAACAATGGCTTTACAGGAAAACATAAAGCCTGACATTTAATGAGCAGGATATGAAACGAAAAATACATGGATTAATACATATATCATATCAAACCCGTCTTAAGAAAAGCATATTGCGTGCGCCTTGAATTTGAAAATGAGCACAGTCTTCGGTTCTTGTGTACAAACGTACCGTTAAAGAGTCTCCCACAGCAGCCACCACTTTGATGTCTGCCGGTCGTAACCTGTGAGCTAAAGTAGAAGCATGAGCTCAGTTCACATCGGACCTCTCTATTTGCCTTTAGGTATTAGTGACGCCGTGCAAGGTTTACCTGAAGTGGGCACTGAGGTGGATGGAGCTGTGTTAACGCAGGAAAAGTCACTGCCCCAATTCTACAGAATGACATGTTTGGCCGTTATGCATAAACAATAATTTGTCATTTTACAGCTGTGCTGAGGACATAATAAAGAAACTATGACCTACTGTAGCAGGAGGAGGAGAGGGCGGAGGCCCTGGAAAGGTGTAGTTGCTGTTGATAGCCGTTCTAAAAAATGGGTTGGTCTTATAAAGAAATAATAAAAAAACATATCAGTTCACAAAAATGCTAACAACAGAATTATGACGTACGTCGTTTTTCACTCACCTTAGAGGGACACTTCAGAGCGATGCCAGATAAGAAGTCTTGTGTAACAGTCTTGTTTCCCACTGGCTCCAACTAGAGATCGTGAGAGTCAGTGAATTATTTTGCATCATTACAACAGAAATAAACACCACACATCCCTAAATTCATAGCAGGACATTTCTAATTTTATAGCAAATCCCACCATGTTGTTCCAGAGAGCCTGAGCCATCAGAGTGTGAGCTTTCTGGCTCAGATGAAAACAGTCAGGTGAAAAGTAGGAGCGATCCGGCCGGCCATTCTATTAAAGACAAAGGAGAATTAATACAATAAAAATACCAAAATAGATCCATGAATGAAGACTTAATTGGGAATAATCCAATGTTTGAGGCGTGTTTGTTACCTCTAACTTGGGAAGGAAAACCTTCCTGAGGAAAGGCTGCAGCACCACAGTAAAGTTGGCATGAGTGTCGTACCGCCCAGAGTCTATCAGCTCTTCCATACCGCGCTGCACACAAAGACCGTCAAGAGATAAAAGACCAAAGAAGAGTCTGACCTTTGTCAGTGACATATTTAATTATTTGAAATGTTAAGCCCTTTTTTGTACAAGAGGTGTAAGTATTGTAGACAATAATTCGCTAATAACAAACATCAAACAATGCAGTAGATGCTCAAACACAATAGTAAAGAGTGTAGACATGGATAAAAAGCTCTCCTTGGTTGGGTACCTGATAGGCTTTGTTGAAGTCTTTGACCTTCTGAAGTTCGGAGGATCCCTCTTTAGGCTTAAGTACACAGGGGCAAATTAAACTGAAAAAGAAACACCCCAACAGTTAAAGAATGACTTGGTCAGTTTGATTTTGTTTTACATAAGCAAACTAAAAAAGAAATCACTTACTTTACAAACCAGGTTGGACAGCCCAACGTTTTATCGTTGTGCAGATCACGCAGCGGTACAATGTCTAACAGCTCTATCAGATTCACAATGGCACGAGGCACCTGGAGGGTTCAAAGCATAACGTTTGTAGGCTGACTGTCTTTGGGGTTATGACTTTAACATTGCAATTCATGAGGGAGAAAACGTACTTCACTATGCAGTATGTCCAGAGCTTGACGGATATTACCCACCACATTCCTGGGTGAGAACACAACCTGTGGAAGTACACAAGATTCATGACCTATTTCAGGGCTTTCTTACACATTTATAATGTTTTTGGAGTAATGATCAGAACAAGCTATTCTTTTTTATCATAATACAAAGAAGATTTTGCTGAAATGCTCACGCTGTCTGTGCAGAAGTCACATAGGTCATTGCCACCAATAAACATGGTGATCACTTTCCAATCTTTGTGAAAGTCAATACGCTGTGAAGGAGATAAGAGTTCATTATTCAGTTCATTGAGAAAAGATGGAAAATAATACTGATGTTTATGCCGTAGTTTACCAGTTCCTTACAGGGTCATTTTTCATTTTCTCCACTAGTACAAGCACCTGTTGCACCATGTCACTGAAAATAGAACGGTTTGATAGTAAAAAAAAGATTGTTTTTTGTGTTCTATACGTTCTGCTGAGGTTTTATTTATTACGGTTAAAAGGGTAAGTAAGTGTAAATAACACTAATATTGTTACTGACCCACTCTTGGCTCCTGCCACAGCCCGATTGAGGAAGGCTTTAGGAGAGTCTTCGCTACCCACCCCCTCTGAGAAGCCGGTCAGGGAGGGGTTGAACTCCCTCAAGAGGTCTGCAGACCACAACACATGTTATTTAATGATTTATTGCATTTCTGTTATTGAAATAAACAATGTAAAACCTCTGGTGTATTTCCAAACGATTTTATGATAATAAATGAAAGGCCATTGCAGATGTAAAATCTTAAAATGTATAAGATAAGATGTATAAGTCATCGTGAAAATACATAACTGATTCAGGTGACTGAGGCATAAAATGGAAGACTGCAGAAGCCTAATGATGGCGATTAAAATCAGCAGTTAGTATAGTTATCACGCACAGTGCTACAATTGGCCAATGATGGACTTCTAATACTTGATTAGATAAACCTCAGACCATTACATTTTAAGCAAAGCTTTTGCATTTTAATGTCTTAATAAATAAGAAGTTAACATACTTGGCAGAGTGGTGACGGTGGTAATGTTTTTATCACCACCAATGCTGAAAATTGAAGAAATTGTTTATATACAATTGTTAATATTTTCCCATACTATCAATATTAGAACAAAGGTGTACTTAAGCTTATCGTACCTCCATGACAGTCCTCTGTACTCATTAATAACTAACAGAAGGTTGTTGGTCTTGGCGCCCACACCATTGGCCGCCTGCAGGAAAACAGCAGATATGACATCATGCGACCAGGGTAGAAAGTTCTTATTGGTCGGAGGGAAGCAGGGAAAGGGCAACACTCACTGTCAGAGAGTCGCCGACCGCTCCCACGACCTTGACATCTCCAGGTCGGAGTTCATGAACTGAGAATGAAGCGGTTGGATTGAACTGCATTTCCCAAAGCACACAAACAGAATGAGAGCAAAAATAGTTTGTCTACCTGAATTGGGGATTGCAGGAGATGGACTGCGGTCTGTGCAAGGTATCTCAGTACCCAAAACCTGCAAAACAAACATTACATTTCACTAAGTTTAACTGAACTTATTGTGTTGCCGCTTGACTGGAAGGACTTACAGGATTAGCTAGTGCAGAGGCCTCGCTGTAGACGCCTTCACTTTCAGTGGGGGAATTTTTATTTGTACGCAGGTACGGTCGTTCCTGGGATGAGGGGTAGCATCAGATTAAATCATGATTATATATTGAGTACTAAAATATGGCTGTGCAGAAAGTGCCATGTGATGCCGTTCCTCACCTGGGTGGGGCAGAGAAAGGTTATGACACCCGGGTCCTTGACCTCTGCCTCACCTGTCGATGGCTGAAGCTGGAAGACGAAACGTTGTGATTGGTTAACATCTCAGGTTCAAGTGGGGGTCGTGCTGTTCATCCAATGCCATGCAGTGTAAGTACTAGTTACATCACTCATGCACACATATTCATGCAGAATGAGCACAGCTTGAGAGTCTTCCCGTAGAGCAATCTAATCAAGTTAATCTCTTATCTAATCTCACACAGAGTTATAAACGTTACATTTTATCGTTGTTTCATCTTACTTTTGCTTTAAGAGATTAGACGTTTTAGCTGTTTAATCATTTTCAAATGATTCTTTTAGGGATTAAGTTTTTGTCATTTGGCCTTTTATTGTACAGACAAAGAGAGACAGAAAAGGGAACAAAAGCGGGACAATATTAATGTCAGAGCCACATGTAGATCTATAAATATATAAATTTGGCAGGTTTGTCAGACAGAGCTAAATACGCTGAACTACCCTGTAATTAATGTTGAGGACTTTGAGTAATAAGAACTTACGATGTTTGTCCACAGCTGAACAGCTAGTTGGTTGAGGTCGGACGCTGTGTCCTCCTTCAAGGAAACACAACATATGCTGGTTACACATTAGCCACGTTACATCTTTCATGCATTGATACGACATGCCATAATTTAGAGTCATTAGTTGCAGTATATTGTTGATTACAACTGGTGTCGGGAAATCATTTTCTTTACTTACAGAATCTGATATGGGTTGAAGGATAACCGGCTGCGACTGCAGCACAGCAGTGAAGTCTGCCCTTTTTTCAACCTGCCACTTTGGATTTTCCCAGACATCACTTAGAGATTCCTGAGAACACGACAGATGGATATGTGTCAGGCAAGTAGCCAAAAGTATGACTCAATCTTGTATACATGGATTTTACCTGCAGCATTTTCAGAAGAGTCGCTTTACGTAATCGCCAGTTTATGCTTTCATCCCTCATACACTGACATCTGCTACAAAATAAAAATCCAATTCATCACTGCCACCTGCATTTTATGACAAACAGTATCACAGCACAATAGAATTTTCTATTGAAATGTCTCATTCAATTCAATGAGAATTGTGCAAACATTTGACTGGTACTGTATATATATACACACATATAAAGTGTACATAAGAAAGGGCTTTTCAAAATAAATGAATTAATATTTTCTTATGTTAATGTCAGAATAGATCAGATACCAGATTAAAAAATATACTCTAATTCAAAACACTCACTTTTCCTGCTGATGATTTGAGCTCCAGACCACGACGTGAACCAAAGTGTGATGCAGCTGTAAACATACGAGCAATTTAATTACTGTTCATGGGGGAATTTCATTGAACATAAAGTACAATACCTTTTTCTGTAGCAACTGCAGAGCCGCTTTCACTTCTTGGACTACAGCATCGACATCCGCAGCAACCTGAAGAATAAAAAGAAACAGTGTTAAACAGTGTTAACATCTGTTTAACTGGTACGTCTGCTACATCAAACACGATTTAGTTGTAGTTTGGCATCTTACGTGTGATGAACAGGCACACAGGGAATCTGCCGGAACAAACAGCAGCACAAGCTTCCAGTCTTTCTCCTGCACGAGCCGGATTACAGTCAAAAAATCAAAAAAGACTTTTCAATTAAACTTGAACCCCTGCGACTAGTCTTTACTCTTTAAGAAAATTACCTACGATAAACGCATTTGCTTTCAAAAACAATAAAGTGATTTCACTGAGCACACGGAGAGGCGAGGAGCAAATATTTAGTGAAATGCGCACTATGACTTGTTTGGGACTTTTAAAACTCAAAGTTTGGGACTTGACTCAGGATTTGATTGCAAATATTGGACTCTTGACTTTGGTCCGAACTCTGGCGTAAAGTTTGTACAATTTGCAAAGTTCTTCTTGCTCTCAATTGTTATGACTGGGTTAATGTGTACCTGATTTGAGAGAGAGACGGACAGTTCCTCCGCTTCCTTCAACAAGCTTCTGCAACACACACACATATCTAACACACCTGTGGTAATATCCTCATCCAGCGTTTACGTCTCTCACTGTACACGTGTGTGTGTGTGCATGTGTTACCTGGGCTGCACGGAGGTCGGATCCACATGTTGGGTGATGACTTCAGGGTTAAACATGGACACCAGCTCTACTCGACACACATAGACACAATCAGACTTCAGTGTGTCGGATGCCTTACAATCAGACGGTGGATAACGCACATTATGGGATGGCTGCTGTTGTAAAAACAAGACGCTGGGGAACGCTTCTACACATGTGTCTACAACTTTTGCCTACTTTTATTTGAAATGAAGGTCAATAACCAGCGTTTCCCCCCCCCCTTATCTTATCTTTAAAGATAAACTAATCAAATCTGGTTCTGTCTTTTCTATAAAGCTTTTCTAAAAAGCTTTTCTATAAAGCGTGCGCTGTGTCTAGCATTTGTTGTGACATAGTCCCGACTGCGACCTTGAACTATGACAACATCTCAATTCAGCAGCGTACTGTTGGTGTTGATACTCACTGGTGTGGACAAAGCATTAAAATGTCTCGTCTTAGGTAGATAAATATGACCATTTTCTAATACCAAATTACATTTTAGCTCACTCTATACTTCTTCATTTCTACTTGTTTGTAAAGCCTCAGTGTTTGAGAGGCGTGTGAGTGCAAGTTCATGGACTTACCAGCAACTCTACTGACGACTCTGAAGGCTTCATCCCTAATGAAGAGGACGGACAAGTTTTCCTGAGTAAGCGTGGGTCAATTACGGGTTTAAAATATTAGCGTCCTCTTTGAAGTAGCTCAGTCAAGGCGCCACACTTGTGTATTTCCCAAGTATTGCTGAGTATGTGCGGCGGTCTACCTGTGTGAGAGAGGAGATCCCAAGATGTAAACCGCTGAGATGTCATCGGGTCTGAGAGTATGAACTGACGGACAGAGAGAAACAGATATAGAAATGTCACGGTGCAACACCAGCAAGGCAGGTTTTCTCAAGTCAGATTAATATGATTGTTGGTGATGATTGCTCAGTGCGATACCTGAGGAGGACGGGGATAAGGGGGCAGGTGATGGCGAGCAGAGTATGGACATGTAGCTTTCTATCTGTAGCACAAAAGAGCAAATCCTCAGACGGCCATCGATACAATATACAGTACGTTTTCAATGCATCCTGTCACACTGCACCTTCTCTGATGATAGTTTATGTTTCCTTACATCAATGTTGACAGCATCTAAACGTGACAATAGAAACAAAAAATTACTTATGAAAAGAGGGGACATTTCATTCTTAAATACTGTTTAAATTTCATGTTGAGAATAAAAGTTAGAAGGTAACAGGAAAGAATAGAACATGTTTATCTTCCATTTTTCCCCCTAAAATCCTGGAGCCTATTCAAGCTTAATACATTTTTTTAAAGGATATTTTTAGATGGAGGGCCAAGATCTTGTTAGAATTTGCATTAGCATTCAATGCAGAATATCTTTACTACTTAACTTAACTTTTTAAATTTTAGTTTATTTTCGTTTGGATACTAAAAGATGATCTGTATATCAGCAAAAATAGACAAAAATATAATCAAAATCTAATACGCCTGGAGAAATCTCATTAGTACAGTGGCATCTTTCACTTAAATAAGGAATATTAAATGATTCAGTAGAAACAATAAATGTTTTTTCTGTACTCTACCTGTAAACTGAGCGCAGGAACCGACAAGGGCTGCCAGGGTGATGAGTGCCGATCTAGTCATGATGAAGTGAGATACCGAGAGCCTTCACACTGAGGCTCCGCTGTTCTGCCTCAGCCTGAGAGAGAGATTGACTGGATGTTCTCACTGACTGCACTCTATCCGTAAAGGGTGTGGGGAGGGGGAAAGTGTTTTATAAAGAGTTTTACAATGGCAGAGAGAAAAAAAACTATTAAATATAATTATGTTGTTTATTGTCGTATCTCCCCCTTCATATTATCTAGATAACAATCAGACAAAGTCACAACACCAGCTCACTATCTGTATTTATTTGTCAATGTCTATCAGACCAAACAAGGTCATCACAGTAACAACCTTTGTGGACAAGGTGATAGAAATCACAGTGAGTCTCCAGGGAAATCCTAACATTTGCTGTCCATAAAAAAAAAAAAATTGAGTGCAATGAACTCAAACAACCATACACGCTCTGCCTCTTAAACTTATCTCTTTTTTTATAGAGTAATACGTCATTATTCACATTGACAGAATATTTAAATCAGTTGCTCTTTAACTTCAAGTCATGCTAGTGCTGCAATATTCACAAGATAGATGGTTGTATAATTATATGTTAACAACCAGCAATTGAATGAAACTGGGTAGGTTCAGTTTTGGAGATGTGATCAGACAGGATTAGATAGTACTTTGCTGATACCGTGACCCTTGGAGTTAAGTTATCTTGATGTTATGTAGTTGTGCGATTTCCATCGAGCAGCTGAACACGATATCATGATATTGCATCCAAATCAGGGCTGTAGTGGAGGGTAAACGCACGTAAACGCCGTTTACGCACCTCTGGAATTTTGGAAATAGCGTTTACGCACCTATAAATAGCGTTTACGCACCTCTAAGTGGCGTTTACGCACCTCAAAGTTCCCTGCACCTTGTATTCTTCCGTTGGAATAATCCGAAATAAACTTGGTGTAATTTTAAAACAGCTAAGACTACGTTTCCTATTGTTGAACATATAAACGCCGTAGTCTGAATCATTTTCATCTGCGCTGTATTGTGGTCTGTGACCATCCAATCAGTGCCTTGCAGCTGTAGCAGCGACACCAATCAGGATCCAGGAGGTAAACATACACGTTGTGGATCAGCCCAGTGGTCACCAACCTTTCTTACCTCACGGACCGGTTTCATGTCAGACAATATTTCGCGGACCGGTCGAGAAGGTCCGTCGGACCTTGACATGTAATGTAATATAATATAATGTAAAATGTAAAAACTCAAGAGACAGGCCCGATATTTTTTGCCAGCAAGAAAATCAAAGCTAAAGCGTCTAAGTTAAGATGACATTTTGCTGCCAATACTCTTGCAAAGTCAATGAAACGTCGAATGCATGACTTTCACATGCAACCATGACGTCAGTGTTTTCTCCCTCTCTGCTGCCTCCTGGCGGAGCACCTGCAGCGCGGGCTGTGACGTCACTACCGGATGTTGATACCAGCTCGGGGCGCAGACAGGAACAGCTGAAAAAGAAAAACAAAGCAGTGGACGACGACGGCAAAAACAACAGATGTGCGTCTAAAATATACCTAAATCGTCGGTGACATTATCGCTGGTGCGGACATTTCGCGCCACTGGACAAAATTAAGAAGGTAAGATGCCGTCACGTGGAGCTCAGAAGAAGAAATATGGTTTTGTTGTTGTTCGCCTTGTTTCGAGCGTGTCGTCGTTGTAGCTTTTAGCTCGACGGCTAATGCAACGTTAGCTTCTTTAAACTTTATGTAACAGCTCGCGGCTCTTCGTCCAACATGCTCAAAACATCGAAGGGAAGCAGCCAATTTGTTTCCTGTTGGCGGTTAATCAAAAGTTGGTGCCTTTTTAACACTTTGTTTCCTCGTACTTCACGATGGCTTTTATTTAACAGCAGGATTCAAAGCTCAGCTGCCATCTACAGTCAACAATCCTCATGGCGAAGCCATCCGGAACTAAACGTGGGGAGGCTTAACAAAGAGTAACAAGGGCAAGAGGAGCTGTCACCTAAGCCTTCAAATATAGTTCAGAAAAAACTCATTTTAGCTGAATATGATTTTCTTTTGAGTCTTTTAAAAAAAAATGAAAATGTCCAAGCCCTGGATTTCTGCAGCAATGCAGGTAAAACTTACTAAATCAGTCATGGTTATATAGTTAAACACAGAAAACTGGGTAATATAGAATAAATCGGGTTATCAAATTAACTTAAAAGTTGTTGTTATTGTGTTGATAGACATGTATCACTCAATGTATATATGTATTATAGAGTTTCCTCATCAGATGTTTTACGTCTCATTCAAAACTCAAATCTCAACTTTTACTGAGTTTGTTTGGAGGTCGTGGAAGTTAAGTTCCATTTGTGGGTTGACTTGACCCGGGTGCACGCTGTATATCCATCCAAAACCCAAGTAAAGCCTTACAACACAGCCTTGCCTTACGTGCCTTACAAAATACAAGTGAAACTAAACAGAAATGACCTTATTTCATTGTGGTCAAATTAATCAAGTGCAGTTATTGTAGATAGCAGGTTATAAACGTTGTTAAAAAAACTTTTCTAGAAGTGTTTCTGTCTGTCTTCTGTTTACAATCTTTTTTCTGTCTTGTTTTAGCCTCTGGCCACTCGACCCCAGAGATCCGACGATGGGACGCATCTTCTTGGACCACATTGGCGGAACTCGCCTCTTCTCCTGCGCCAACTGTGACACCATCCTAACGAACCGGTCCGAGCTCATCTCAACTCGCTTCACGGGCGCCACGGGCCGAGCCTTCCTCTTCAACAAGGTACGGAAACCACGGTGTTCGCCACCTGCCACGAAAATGAAACGAGCCACAGTCATCCAGCATCCAGATCAACGTATAGACCTGTGTCTCCACTCCCCAACAGGTGGTGAACCTCCAGTACAGCGAGGTGCAGGACCGAGTGATGCTGACCGGCAGACACATGGTGAGGGACGTCAGCTGCAAGAACTGCAACAGCAAGTTGGGTTGGATCTACGAGTTTGCGACGGAGGACAGTCAGCGCTACAAAGAGGGGCGCGTCATCCTGGAGAGGGCGCTGGTCAGGGAGAGCGAGGGCTTCGAGGAGCACGTCCCCTCAGACAACTCGTGAGCCCCTCGCCCCGGATCACATAGACGCTCGTTTCCCCCTCCCCTTTACCCCCCGACCCCCAAAGCAAAGTTTGGGGCTTCCACCGCGCCCTCCCACCACACCGGTTCCCTGTCTCCAGCCTATGACCTTAGACCTCTGCCGATGACAATAGTGGTTTGTTGGCTCTACTTTTGCAGAATAGGCTTCCTAAAATCACTTCATTTATGTCACAGGGCAAAACTCCCCAAAACAGCGGCGACGCCGCCTCTGCAACTACACACCTCTCGCTGAATTTCCACCACATCACAAGGCATGCGCCACACTTTTTCTTTTAATGTGGTTATCAAAGACGTGCGTGATAATAGACAAAGTCACACAAAATAGACATCACTTTGTTTTTGTTTTTTTACATAACTAGAGGCAGTAGAGCTGGGATTGACATTTCAAGAGGACACAAAGGGGCGTTAAAGGCGACGATCCGAACAGCACAAAGTTGTACAATTCATCCAAAAATCAATTCAGTTACCCACCCCCCCCCCCCTCTCCGTCCGTTACCGTGGATTTTGTGCCTGCGTGAAGGCCAACGTGTCATTTTCGGTGACTTGTGAAGAACATGTACCTTCCAGCCATGTGTCTTTACGTGTGACGGAGGACGAGTGGCCCTTGAGACGTCATGGAGACATTCTCTGGCCGGCTGCCACTTTAAGGACGTGATTGTGAAAGGATTGGTCACAGAAGCGCTTGAAGGGGGTCAGTACTGGGAGGAAATATGAGACAAGTTTATGGACTGTCTCTGGAAAAATATCATAGCAATCAGCACATTACAATGCTGGACACAACAGATCGGACATGTTTAAATCAAGCCTTCGGTTGACTGTACTCCATTTATTTAAACTGTCTTCATTGCTTTCGGGGTAGTGACCCATCCATCTTTTATAGGCCTCGGCTTTGGGCACATTTAGTCATAAGATGACATGTTTCTTACAACATAAAACCAGGAAAGCTTTAATGGAGTTCATTAAAGTTGACTCTTTGTCCTTCGACTATGCCAGAGACCCCATTTTTTTATCATCAGTGTCCTTTGGGGATTTCAATGAAAATGTCAAATTTTAACAGAAAAGCAAGAAACATCTCAACGTCCCTGACATTTAAGGTTATTTTTGGAGATGGTTATAGTGTGGCGGCAGCGCGCATGCCCGCGGGGGTTACCGGCATGGTCCCAAAAAAGGAGAACAAATAGGACAGGACATGGAGGAGTGTCCATAACCCCGAGTCCGTGCAGTGTAAAGCTCAAGGCCGTGACGGGATATTGTCATTATCATGTTATGGTTCATTTTTACCATTACCATTTTAGTGATGGAACATTGTTTTTATTTGAACTATATGATTATTTTATTGACTGATTCTTTCATCTTGTGTATTTTTGGTTGTGGAGGATTTAGAGGAAAAAAAAAGGTTTGTTCTTGAATGGCTACTGCCAGTTTTTCTTTGATGTGACTTCTAAATAAACATGTAGTCTTGCTGAGTTCATTTTTTTTGTTGTCTTATTTGCAGCTTAGAACTCATCTGTCTTTGTCTCCACGCGCTTAGTAGTCCTGTAATAATCAATGTTTGTGAATACAGTTCCAAAGTCTCTTTTCTGTCGAAGAGGAAATACTTCTTAACACATGGCTGTGACTGTGATGCCAAACTGCATTTTTAAACCACCTTCTTTATGTTTTCATTTTAGATTTCAAAATGTGGTTTTAACTTGGTCCTCGAGACAAATGTGGAAATAAGCCAGTTTAGTGAACGACATCATTGTGTCAACATCCACAAACCATCTGTTGGCCTCTGGGTGGCAGCAGGATGCTGAGACAGGATCCTCCATGGAGACGTGACGCATGATGAGTCCCTTACCTGACTTTGGCGTTAGCCCGCTCTCAGCGTCACTGCAGTCTGCAAATTTGTGTCATATATATTATATATATATATATTTAATGTAGCAGAAGGAAAATGAATTGGTACCGCAGCCCAGTATGGAATGAGGAAAGCAAACATTGATGACCGTAATAGAGCCCATCCAAACTGTGACATGAATTTAATTCTGGTATTTTCTATGAATCACCTGTGATGAAGAGGTTTGACTGCATTGGGCGTATAAATAGATAGTGACGGTTCTCTCCTAATCCACCCACTAATATTGCAGTGCTGCCGTGGAGTTATTTATAGCTCTGATCCTGTCGGAAAGCTTCTTTCTTAGAGTGTGTGTGTCACAGGTCTGTTTCTCTGCAGTCACTCCTCAGACTCAGCCAGCAGCGCTTGAGTTAGCTCTGAAAAATATTCATTGTTGCAAAAAGCAAATTTTTGAGGGCACTCATTTTTTTGCATCCCAATCTGGGATTAAGATCTGTGTTTTATGACCATATCAAGAGGCAGGCATGATGAGAAGCAAAAAGATTTCCTACTCGCCCTCAGATACCTCCACATTGCTCCTGGGCAGGACATTGACTTCCCTAAAGGCTTCCTAGACACCTATTCAGCTGATCAGTTACTAGGGGAATCATTCCTTAGGGACAGAACCTAATAACAGGAAAAACAAAAGACATACGAGTGAAGCGACGCTCTCGTGTGTCAACATGATCTTCTCTACTCCCGCTGTCCAAACTACCAGGAGAAAGTTTAAAACTTCAATGCGGAGGATCATTCGGAGGGAGGTTGGGAGGCCAAAGAAAAGCCACCAGGAGCATAATTGCACCCTTAATTGGCTCATGATTCATCATCCTGGGACAGCTATTTCAGTTCACCCTCACCTTTTGCCGGCATCCCACCCGCGCTCTTTTCCCAGAGGAGAGCAGAGATATAGAATATACAAATAAACTTCCAGCTTTCCGCCACTCTCTCTCACACACACACACACACACACAAAGGAGTGACATCATTTTGTCAGCCGGAGAAAATAGCATACTTTCCATTGACATCACTCTACATGGAGTTGCTAGGAGACAGGGGAGTTACCATTGGTTTCTATGGTGACTGCACTTCACCTTGAATGCTCCTGACCTTTTCGGTTGTCTACAGTAGACCAGAATGCATGTGTGTGTGTGTTGTGTAACTTGAGCATTGTTGTGCATTGTTGACTCATTCCCTGCAGTGTAGTGATTGATATAAATCATGCCAGATTAAAGGGCTGCCCAGACAAGATGCTCTGCGGCAACTAAAAGCTTCAGGATAACATGAGCGGAATGATGAATAAATGAGCAAACGCACTGTCACACTTCCTGCGTAATGCAGTAACATCACACTGTTATGGACCACATGTTAAACCGATGTTACCGTGAATGGACAGGAGCTATTACGTAATCTATCAAAAGATCAATTTGTAGTTGTACAATCAGCAGTCTATATTTTCAAGGTCAGCAGCGAGACACGAAAGCACAATGACCGGAGACGAGAACTTGTTGATATAGCATATTAATTTATATACACATATGTATATATATATATATATTACCTGAGGACAGTGACTTTGGACAGGTCCAGCATCAGCAAGTGATTGTAAAATGAGCAGAAAAACAGCACAGGGTACAGAACACCAGGAGGAGATGTTGGCTGATTCGGGGTGGATGAGACTGATATATAGTACCATGTGTGGTAAACTACTACATGCCGATGGTAAAATTGGTAACACAGCTGGATCACAGTGACTGGAGACAGCCTCTTTACACATACAGGAGCTTCAGATTCATATCAACAACAAACACAAACAAAATGACGCTTCAGTCAAAAGACAATTGTCTCAGAAGATGGTCGATCGTCTTGATCGCGGTGTTACGGAAAGTGCTACGGACTGCCTGAGACACAAATGTTTCCCGAGTCCCGGGGTTAACATGATTTGAAATGGTAAACGGAGTTAGTGGTTACACGTGTGGTAAAAGCGCCACTCCAATCTCGTTTTGATTCCTGTCCTTTTTTGGCACAATTGGAGGGGCTTTCTCAGCTGTCGCGTGCTAATTGAGTTTGGCAGGCGCATCAATGCCAGTCCTCTAAGAGAGCGGCGCGGGCAGAGGTGGGCATTACAGGGTTTTTTTTTGGATTAGGTCAAGTTCGTGGCCAGTTTTCCACTCCAAGTCTGGTTCTCTATGCCACCCTGAGCATGGAGGGGCAATGTTGTACCAACAGGACATTCTTCCACCCCGGCACGAGCACCCACATCGTGCCTCTTAAAGGCATCCATTCGCTCCCAGAAAGGGCACAAAGCTCATCTGCTTCTGCAGACATCAGATCTGTCAGATCTTTGCTCATGATGACTTACTTGGGTATCCTTGCCAGCGTTGGATGAGGGGACCCTTTCCTAACAACACAGACCTCTTTCTGTTTGGTTTCTTCCTAAAGTCCCGTCCTGCTATTCTCATCCTTTGGCTTTTATGTGCAAAAGCTACATGAGCAAACAAAAATTATAACACAGATTTAAAGACCGTTACAGCAATAAACATCATCATCATCTATGATCACAAACTAATTCCCAATTGGTATAAAAGAGTAATAAAACACAAAAAAGGTAAACAATGGTACACATACATATATACCTGTATATTCCTTTAAAATTCTCTGGGAAACCTTTTTTTCCTCAGTAGAGACTACTAATTGCATCATTAAATATTTGACTCATTTAACTAGTCGCATCGGTCTAATCCAGCTATTTGCAGTGCTTGTTTGAATATTGGTTAGAGTCGAGGTATCATATGTACAGGTGGTCTGCACTATGGCTCCACTCCATGATTTATGACACAGATATAAAACCAAGGGCAACATAGCGTCCAATAAAACAAGTTTCAAAGACATGGCAACGGTATACAAATACTAAGAGCATTGTTTCATGACGTGTGTCCACGCGGAGGTTCTGAACGAACGACTCCAATAAAACACATAAACTAATAAAATGCACTGAGCAAGCAGAGACGTACCAAGGGCGAGTGACAACGAATTGAAATGAAATTCTTTGAATCAAACAACGATAAATGTAAATAACATTCCTCTTTTTCTCTTTTCAGACAGGTAAGCCCTCGCTTAACTCATTACTCCCCTCTCTAAGGCACGGAGCATGGACTGAACGGAGTCCTCAGTGTCGTTGTCCAGTCGACCTCGCCCTCCGTCCTCACTGCATCTTCCCACTCTTACCCTTCTCGTCCGCGGCGGCGGCGGCGGCCATGGACTTCCAGAAGCGATGGCAGGCCAACTCCAGCAGCTCCAGCCCGCCGATCAGCTTCTGCTGGGCCGTGTACACTCCGACCATGACCAGGAAGTAGAGCCTGACCGGAGCCCACAGCCACAGGCCGGTGAAGCACAGAGCGATGAAGCTGCTCCAGTACAGCAGCGAGGCTGCTTTGATCAGAGACACCCGCAGCTCCGTCTTACACGGCGGCACAAGCACAACGCCGTCCCCGTCGAAGCCCCGCCGCTGGCCCGAGTAGAAGTCGCGCAGTCGGGTTTCCTTCTCGGCCCAGCGGTCCCGACACCAGGACTCCAGGTCGGAGGAGGAGTCGGGCAGGGAGCTCACCGGGTAGCGGCGGACGTGGAAGTGGATCTCGCGGGGGAAAAGCCCCAGGATGAGGTGGCGCTCCGTCTGGGGGATGTTCTTGGGGTATGCCACCGTGATATCGTGGACAGCATCCAGGTTATCTCCTAGAAAAGGGGACGCCGTTTTAAATGATTGCAGGAACAACATCACGGTATTCTGATAAGCAAAAGGACAAACTAGACAAAAACTCAATGACATTGCTGGGAAACCCGCTATTATTATTATTATCACTAAATTGAAATTATCCCTTTTCCCAAATCCACACTGGTTGTTGGATCTTTTTTATGCACCCTTCAAAATCCTGGCCCGGAGCTCCATTACAAGCGTACTTCTAATTATCCTGGGGCTTAAAACGTGACCTCAAAACTGCCATGAGCTTCATACTGTCATCGCTGATCCGCTGTGCCCTTACAGCACACGCGTAGAGCTTTATGAAATATCAGATGGACAGGATGACACCTGCCAGCGCCCGCTACCGCACTGCTCAGCTCTGCGCCGGTAAAAATAGTCGTGAGAAGCGCAGTGGACCTGGACAGCGTGTCAGTTAGCAGCACGGGGAAGGGGGAGAGGAGAGAATTAGCCGCTTCGGATGACATCACACTGATTCGCGGCACCTGCGTGGAGAGTTAGTGGCGTGTTCAGCATGCAGAGCAGGCGAGGGGGGGGTGAGACGGCAGGACCAGAGGTGGCATTTAAGAACCCTGGAGGGCTGCCACAGTTAGCTCATAGGGAAACATGACATTCTCCCGGGTGTAATGGCTGGCGGCTTAGGATGAAGAACAGGCCCGAGACGCTGAGGAATAACAAGTGTGATTCCTCCCAAACAAACTGCGTCAGGGGATTAAATACAGTCAACACGATAGCAGGTCATTTCCCCTCGGTCTGGCTGAATATTTCCATCACAATGCTGTTTGACTGGCAACTACCAACGACATCTGTATTACCATATGCAGTGTTGACATTTCATGATGTGAAAAATGGCTGAACCTTTTCGTAGTCTGTCCACAATGAAGGTGAATCCAGTGCTGCGGGGATGCAGCACATACTCGAATTCTGGCAGGTTGTTCTGGGCAGCAAACACATTGCTCTTTGCTCTTGTATTTTCTGCAAGAGACACAATGTACAATATGAACCTCTAGCAACTGGAATCCCCATTTCAACTACGGGTATGCAAGCTGTTATTCGCAGGGAAGGAAAGATACACAGCCGAAGCACAGGCGAAAATGAAATTGTCATGTTTTTAAGACTGATCATGTTATTTATTTATTTTTTAAATAGTAAAATTATTTTAAAAATAATGAGAATTTGGTTGACATAACGTACAATAGCAAAAAAATAACAGTAAACTATCATAAAAATAGCAGTTAAACAAAAACAATGTGGGTTCCGCGAGATGACCACATCCACCACTAACAAACGCTTACACATTAGTAAAAACCACCGGGGAAATAATCACAGGAAAGATGATCATTCATTAACATTTCTCAGGAAGCCGTTGGAAACATGGAAACTATATCATTGACTCATTAAGTCATATGCTGGCACATAGGACAAAAAGACCCCGGAGAGATTCAAGGTCATCAGGCCTCTGCTCAAAGCTGTGACTTCTTAAACAATCTCTTATTCAATTCAGTGCAATTCACATGCACATGTTTGTGCGCAGGCAGACGCGCACGCGCACGCGCACACACACACACACACACACACACACACACACACACACACACACACACACACACACACACACACAGTATGCGTAGCAAGTGAAGTGATCTGTAAAGCCATAAATCTGCAGGCCAATTATGAGGCAACTTCACTGAACCCCTCATGACATCATGATATGTAAAGGGCAGTTAAGCTTCCCCGGGTAAAGCTAGTCGGGACTTTGATTGGCTTAGTGGGGGTATGAAAGGACTTTAGACGCTGATGTCGCACCGAGAGATCAGAGCATTCTTACAGAAATGAAAGTATGGGGAGTGTGTCACGGGATTCTGCTACGCCTTATCACCTGGGACCTGTGTTTGCATAGCCGTGTCAGTGCAGAGGTGTTACAGAAGGAACAAACTGAGCTCTGGGTAACATATTCGCAGAGGAACACCTGAAATGTGGGCACGTTGTCCCATGAATAGATGGCGCGTTGCATTGTTTTATTGTGTTACCGGTGAGGTCTGTGCCCTCCGGGAACAGGAGCAGCTGCAGGGGCTCTCTGATGTCGCAGAAATAGTCCAGCATGTTCTCCATGTGCTTCTTGTCGTCCTCCCAACGACGGTGAATGAAGACGAAGCAGGCCACCTGCATGGCCCAGCCTGGGAAATACATGCAAAGTACTGATTGATTGCTTCTCCTAATGGTTTTGGTACAAAAGCAAGTGTCAGCGTCATATTTCCCACTAACATGTTCCCACCCTTTATTTTTAATACACTGCCTGCGGATATCAGGTTTGTCAAACCAGCATCTTCTCGTGGGGAAATTATTTTTTTCTTTCTTTATGTTTGACTTTTACCGTAACATTTAACTAAACTAAACCGATTGATGCTTCTGTTTTCTCTCCAGTCAGCTGTAACTGGGCTGAGAAAATGATGGAAACTTAAGAAAAGAACATTGTGAATAAATAAATGTATACTAATAATTGACAGAGGGAGGAGTCAAAACACTTTACAAAAAATCCCAAGAAATTGAAGCAGTTCTTTGTAAATCTTAAATTGTAACCTGCCCTGCGGGGGTGAGAAAGTCTGCGTGTAGAGGAAAGGTCGGAGCGCCCGCGGAATACCCACCGAAGCCAGGCACAGCTTTCAGGGCAGCCTTGAGGCAGATCTTCTCCAGGCGAAGGTAGCTGTACCTGAGCAGACAACACCAAAGAAACATCCAGTCCAGTCGGGTGCGGTGGTTCATGATGATCACACTTCGCTCGCCCGGAATGAAGCCATCACCCGTTATCACCACCTTCACCCCGAACACCAGCTCCAGCAACGACTATGGAGCGGAGGGACGAAGGAGGAGCACACAGGAACAGAGCGGGAAGGGCGGGGAGACGGAGCAAAAACGGAGAGGTTGATGATCAGGGGGACACAAGAGTGGTCGTTGAAAGGGGATTTAGAGGGAGAGAGTGAAGGCGGTAAGGTAGATTTAAGAGAGACAAAGGTGAGAAGTAGGACTGCACGGTATACCGGTTGAAACGGTATACAGCTATAAGACTTCCGTACGGTATGAACAACAAGAGACCAGAGAGGCACCAACACAACTTGTGCCCAAGAGAGGAGCTGTGTCTGTTTGGAGAGTTTTTGGTTTTGGATGTACATTAGATTAGAAAACGATTTATTGCAAAGTCTATTAAGCTTCTGGTATTGCCTCTGGTGGCAAGACTATCGGCCACAATGAGCTAACACGCTAACAAGCTAACACACTAACACACTAACAAGCTCGCCGGCCAGTTGCGAGGAAGTTGGCCAGCGAGCGGCGAACAGCTGATCGGGTGGCCGAGGTCTTTTTCGGGGTCAATGAATTAATGTGTTTACTTGAAAAAGCAATACTGTCACATACCGGGACACCGTCAGAATCTTATACCATGACATAGATTTTTGGCCGTACCGCCCAGCCCTAACAAGAGGAATGCACACAAATGATGCCTTTGATTTGTGGTGTCACTATAAACGAGTTTTGCATAACTGCTCTCATGGGCAATCTAAATAACTGAAAATAAGATCTGATTACTCATGAATGAATGTGTCAGACACGGGTACCGTGGTGCCATACGGCCGGCACGTTAGCGGCCTAAACAAAGAACAAATTGGTGCACACACCACAGGCAGAGTGAGCCAGGTAGCGACGATGCGATCGGTGATCCAGCGGTACCAAGCAGGGGACAGCAGCATGAGAGGCAGGAACGGACCCAGCATGAAGACACTTCCGAAGAAGCTGGCCAAAAACAGGGTGACCACAAAGTACAGGCCTCGCACCGACACGGCCATCTGTGGAGAGGAAGGAGACGAGATTCAAAGAGTGTACCGTGGGGCGTGGAACTAAACTATAACGTTGAGTCAGACATTTTGCCGTACCGTTGCAATTGCGTTCTACACCTTGGAATTTACATATTTTAGACATTTTTTCAATAAATGAGTTGTTCAGATTCACCATAAAATCAATATCAACAACATATATGTTGATATGGGATAATAAAATGACATGCACTGGGACAGGGGTTCAATTCAAATCAATTGAGTGCACCTGAAGCTTTGACTGTTCTCTCTGAGCGCCCTGATCTTAGAGGAATTACCACACTATAAATAAATAAATTAATGAATGAATGAATGAATGAATGAATAAAAGCTTAAGCTTTACTGTGCTTTTATTTTACTTGTTGGTTTAAAATTTCACTCATTTTGCCGAATGCGACTTGCTCAAAAGACCTCTCCCTCTCTCTCCTGCTCATTTTGTTGCACCTTATTAATGCATAGACTTTGGTCAGTGAATTATATGGGTCTAATGAACCCCAGTTTCCACTATAATTTAAAATACCTTTGAGTGCATGACCTTTAAAAAAGCGTCAATAGCCCAGAAATACTGTTTCTATGTAGACAAACATAACAACTTTAAACCTATGGTTAGTGGATAAATAACGCTCTTAGGAATGCCAACTGCCATCGAGGAAGTCAATTAAATGTGTCAATCTACTAAATAAACCCCAAAAAGTGTTGATTTCTACATACAATTTATTCTGGATTTAGTTTGTGTGATGAAATAAGAAGCAGGATCTAGCTCATAAACAAGAAAATAATGCAATCTTTTTTTTAAGCAACCTTAACCACACGACGAGATGAACTCAAATCAAACCAAGCAAATTTGAGCGTCCTCGGAGATAAAGGTCAAAAGGGGTGAAGCACAGGGAGCCTTGATTTGATTAGGCTTCGGCCTTGCTGACACGGGGAGTCTGAGCTGGTGCCACAGGGAGCCGTTTTCATCCAGCAGGTGTTTTTCTCCCCTCAGATGAACCGCGGCTCACACTTTCCACCTCAATTATTGTTATGAAGCTGTTTGTCTGAGCTACCTTCCCCCAACACTCCCATCATCTCGCCCCGGTTCACACCATCTGCATCACCATGACGCAGCAAGTCTCACAGCAGCCACCGTACGGCTGAAGGTGCGTTTGCGTGCATGATCATGCCAGCAACGAGGGTTTATGGGTTACTGGTTTTAACAACGGAAAGATGTGAGGCACGAGAGAGGTGAGAAAACTGGCTCGCTCAGCACAATGTGGCCGTGTCCTCACACACACACGCACACAAAGCACACCCTTGGGTGGCTCCTGGAAAGTGCAGACAAGCTTATTCATAAATATAGCCAAACGGCATGACACACCTGCAGCCTGCCATGGGAAATGGAAACTACAGACATCTGAGCGTTCAATAAACGTTTTTCTTCCACTTGGCGTAGACACACGGGTCCATCCACGGAAACCCATTTGTTTTCATACTGCAAACATTAAATTAGTGCCTTCCATTTGGGCTCATTTAATAGCGATGGTACTAAAAGTTCTTACGCAAGGACCCAAGGCCTCACGTAATGCAAAGCATACTCCTCATAGTTAAAGTCTGATTTATCTGCCCTTCATTTGGCATTTCTTCTTTTAGGCCAAGAACATACATCCTAACAGAGAAGGCCAAAGTGAAGAGGTCAAGCATGTCTGGGCTAAACAGCTGTGTGTGTGTGTGTGTGTGTGTTAATGGAGTAACATGAAGTGAAGAAGGAAAAAAATAATGCCGCAAAATTGATTTCAGAGTAAATATCTACTTTACAACGTAGAAGAAAAAAAAAAACTCGTCCAGGACTGGATTAGTCTTCCGCTGGCTGTGATATCCCAAAACACTGTCAATATCACTCATTTGAGAAATTGAAGATTACTTTGCATAGTAAGTAAATTATACAATGTCTCAATACTGAAATTCCCCAAATTCTGATATTTCTTGACAAGCAGACCGCGTAAGTAGCAAAATAACAAATAAGACAATGACTGGAGCTGCATATCTGCAGCTATACATATATACTCCATATATTCACAGTGAAGAATATACTCCATATTATTACATTACCGGTCATTCAGCTGACGCCTATATCCAAAGCGACTTACATTTCATTTTTAACCCATGGCTTTTAACAGTTTTGCCCAGGGAGCATTTAAGGGTTTAGGTGTCTTGCTCAGTGACACTTTGACATGGGACATCGAGCAGACGGGGCTTGAACCACCAACCTCACGGTTCCCGGCGCAGTGGATATACTCCATGTATTCACAGTGGATATACTCCATGCATTCACAGTGGATATACTCCATGCATTCACAGTGGATGTACTCCATGCATTCACAGTGGATATACTCCATGCATTCACAGTGGATGTACTCCATGCATTCACAGTGGATGTACTCCATGCATTCACAGTGGATGTACTCCATGCATTCACAGTGGATATATTCCTAAATGTGTCATCTTCCCTTTGCATGTTGCTGCATGAATAACAATCCCTTCGGTTAGCATGTTGCTTCGTAAATAATTAACATAACACTAAGCCTAACATGCAAATGAGTGACAGTCCTATAACTTAAGATAAACAGCGGTGAGACAGCGGTGGGCTCTTAATAGATGATGGAATCGCTTAGGACACTGTTATGATAGTTTCCGTTCTGACACTGTGTGCTCTTCGATGTCACCCAACATGATGGCACGTCCCTCAAAACACTACGTTGACCACCAGAGAACTAATAAGGAGACTTCACCATTACCGCTATATCGTAATGACGTTGACCTTTTACGTGAGGGCAAATCGCTTGCTGTCAGTGCAGATTATATTCGGGCTAATGTGCCAATCACAACTGACGTCAGGCTGACACGAACAACAGGGCGAATGCTAACACACCAAGCGTGCCATAGAACATAACGTTAAGCGGGCTCTGGTTGGCAATAGTTAACGTGCAGTTTTTTAACATTGTGCATGAACTACTGTGTAATAGACGATATAAACTGAGGGGCGGCAACATACACACCTTTCTTGTTTTCCTCCAGTGCCAAAGTTAATTTCAGTTAGCTGAGATAACGCTAGCTACGCTAGCCTACGAGAAGTCCAAGCACTCGGTTGCGACATAGCCGTTTAGCAAGCCAGCTAGCAGCATGCTAACGCTAGCTAGCTAGCGACGTTTATAAGCCTCACTGGTCCTCGAAGCTGACGCTCGTTCGAACGGCTTCACAACCAATCTGTTTTTTAGCAAGATAGTATCCGCTCGCGGCGAATTCGCGTTATTGAATTGCCGTAACGTTGTATTGCTGCCGCCTTACCGTTTTGCTATTACAACCTTTCAACTTGTTACCTCTACCCTGTCCTTGCACCCGGGCATCGACAGGGGGCGCTGCTTCTGCAACCCATAGCCTTCAGGGAGGTGACAGACAAACCGCAGACAAAGCACGTGGAGGGAACTTTGCAATTGAACTGAGTTCTACGCAGATCTCACGTGTCGAAAGCGGCTACGGCTGTTTAAGCTGCAGTCGAACCACCTGCACACACGGTCTTTGTAGGAGGGGCAGAGAGAGAGCGGAGGACTCCGTGCTTGCTTACAGTGATGGTGGCAGTACCAGTAGTGGTAGAAGTAGTCATATTCATACCTTTAACAATTCATAATACATGAATAAAAGCAATGCATATTGACCCTGGCCAGAGTTGGAGTATTACTGCAAAATGTACGTAAACGCAAGAAAACATACCTAAGAGTGTTATATGTATTGTCATAATATTTACTTTAGTTGCATCCTATTTTAAACACTGACCATAATCTTCAGCATCAAATAAATTGTAGTAAAAAAAAAGTATGAAAAAAAGTAAATTAGAAGCATAAAGTAGCATAAAATCGCAATACACAAAACAAATTGCTCTAAATTATACCTATACATCGAGATGTGAAGTTGGCAATCCCCGTAGAAGGTCCATAATACAGTTAATCTAAGGCATCTTTGCCATTTTAATTAACAGATTGATAAAAAAAAGATTGATCTAGTTACCATATCAAAACATCATCCTTTTCATTATAAAAACCAATTGAATTTCCCTTGCTGGTTTAATAAAGTAGCAAATACCTTCTTGTTCTTCTCTGTCTTCTATTTATACATTTTAATAATGAACGTTGTCTACAACACACAGAGAATTTACTCTTTTATGGCCTTAAATAAATTCATAAAATGAAAGAAAAGGTATACTCACTTTTGTCATAATTTTTGTTCTCAACAATCTGAGCTCAGGAGGTTTCACTCGCACTGCGATTAAGTTCACGCGGCGTTCTTCCACATGAACTTAATACTACGTCAGATCAAATCTCAAGCATGATATTGATGATAGACGTCTCCCAACACAGCCTTTTAAAGTCGTATGAATTGTAGCTTGTGTCATTTGTTTCTTTAACCAGTTATGAGGTGTTCTACTGTTACCAAATACCTCAGCAGTCAGTGATGTGTGTGTGTGTGTGTGTGTGTGTGTGTGTGTGTAGTTGGTCAACGTATCTGAGCGTATCCGAGCGTGCACATTTTCTCTCTTGTGTGTGAGTGCGTGTGAGGTTGAGTCAGACTGACGGACAAGGTAAAAGAGAGAGTACACTTAGTCAAACTCAAGACTTTTCCATGACCTGCTCCCTATGGCATGCACTCTATCCGAGAGACTGAGTGAACTGTATAGTTTTGTCAGTATAAACTTTTCAAGGGTCAACGCATCACTTCAAAAGGGGAACGGAAAAACTTTGCTTTGAAACAAGTTCTCATTTTTTCACTTTAGTGCCAATTCACCTTCCACAGAGAAGCACGTCCGCATGATTAATGACGCTTGTCCAAGATAATTTAGCCAAAGCAATTTGATTAAGCACTCATAATCATATTTCCTTGAAGAATTTTACATATTTATGCCCTCTGGTAAGAATAAGTCGTTTTAATTCATTAAAAACATAAAAGATCTACGCTTAAGCTATGCTTGCTGATAAAAGCGACATGGGAGGTAAGACATGCAACAGATAAAAATAGAAACCGGCAAACATTAATTCATGTTAGACGTGCCGTTCCATGTGGGACAAACAGAGCGACTTGTTTTAGGCACTGTACACTATGTTTTGTTTTGAGTCTATTGATAGCACTTTAACAAGGCTTTATTGGGGAAAAACTCTTCTAGTTTTCTTTTTTTTATTTGTTTAAACATTCTTGCCTCTTGTGACCTCTTGTGCTTTTGTTCAAAGAAAGAACACGGATGATTTAACTTGAGTCTTCTTCTCCTTCACTTCACTTCCTCTTCACATTTACAACAGGTCTCTCGGCCTCACACCTTTATCAGCATTGTAATTCCAGTTTTGCATCTTCATTTGAGTGTTAGCTCCGTCTATGTCTTTTGTCTCTTGTATCTTTCCTCCCTTTTTCCATTGTGGTCTCTAGGCAATAATTAGATTAGAGTGTGTGTGTGTGTGTGTGGGGGGGGGGGGGGTCATAAGCTGTTTGTTATATCTACAACAGCATTTAGAAGAGCGGCAGCATGTGGCTGAGCATCTTACTTTGCAAGTACATTAAAGTGTGGGTGCCAGCAGACTTATATTGATCAAAGTATTAGTTGTTAAATAGAGAATAGGTTCCTCATGATGAGACTTGTTCTAATATCAGCTGTGGTTGTGTTTCCAGAAGTTCCGTTTTAACAGGTTGGTCAGTTTGGCAGATCGAGTGTGCTAGACCCTCATTAAGTTTGATGTTGTGGAGTTTTCAAATGTAAAATAATACATTCGGGAAAAGGACAGATTACAAAAAACTGACTTCCTCAAGTCTAATGCATTTCCCTTTTTTCCATTTTTATTCCACCTATCCTGTTTGTACTGTCATTTTGGAAGGTGCTGTATAGTTTAATTTAATGAGGTGTGGAGCCACTAAGCAAGTTATCAAGTTTTGCTTTGCTCACACGTAATTTTACCTCATTAAAGTCTCATCCAAGTTGGCCAACAAGACACAACCGGTCTAACCTGTGATTTATCCACGTCACGGTGTAGTTCATTTACCTCCTCAACATCCTCCACTTTCCTTTGCTGACCCCGTCACCTTTCATGCTTCCTCCTTGTTGCTCGCCTCTCAGCGTATCTTATTCTAGCTCTTCCCTCGTTGACAGTGCCGGATAACGTGTCTACGCTTGGTGGGCCGTCTCCATACTGGTTATAAATAACCAGCAGCGTTTTTGCTTCAGGTCCTGAGAGCTCTACTTTCTTCTCACACTTGAGGAACCATGGGAAAAGAATCTTTCCCTCACGCACATGGCACTCATTGTAATAACAGACACAGTTAGACATAAAACCTCCACGCACATGTGCCCCTTCGCACAAAAACTCCGACATAGTCGTCGTGCGTGCACATGAACCGGGGCGGCCTGTTCGATAACTTTGCAGCACGGTTTGTAATGAAATGTCGACTTACATAACCTGCTCTGTGGGAATGCAGAGTACATTCATTCTGTCATGCAAGTATGGGAAACTTGCTGAAACAACAAAATGGGATAAAAGTCTGGGAGAGCAAAAAATAGAAAGAACAAGAAAACAACGACGTTAGAGGAAAAAAAAAAAAGTGAAGACAGGGAGTGGAAAAAGAGTTCACTGGATAAGCATTAATTCTTTCCTCATGACATACCAGGTTGAGGGGGTGGGGGGGGGGGGGGGTATGCTATGGGTACATGGTGTGAGTTTATGTGTAGAGTGGTGACTGTGAAACAGCGTTAATGTGGACTTTAGCTGGGAGTCAGGGAGAATTCAGGGGTTGGCAGGTCAGACTGCTGCTGACACACTGGGATCAGCGATGGAATTGTTTCCATCGGAAAGAATTCCAAGAATGAGCTAGAAGAGCTATCAGTGACTTCACTCAGAGGGATCTGACCAAAGTTTTAAAACATAGCCGTACGCACGCTCTCACACACACTTTTAAAGATACTGTGTCTCGCACGGACATTGGTGTGCGAGACGCACTCCGTTGCCATTTGTCACTGAGTGCCCAGTCGCCTCTCGCTGACCTCACCCTTTGCGGAACGGATGCGGTCACCTCTGACTACCAGCATAGTGGTTCATAGGAAAAAAATACTATATATATATAAACAGATTAAATGATTAAAATCTGCACTAAAACATGGGTGCATGTTCAGTGGAAAATTACATTAAACCTCTGAAAAGTTTTAAAATCGTAATATAAAATAGTCAAAAAAGGGCAATACAACATGAAGTTAATGATAGTTGGAGATTTTGGGGACAACATTTGCTTTATTTCCGAGTTAGAGATAGATTCAACACTAATATAAGATTTATTGTGTTTCACAAAATATGAACTACAATAAATGAAGCCAGTAGCCTGTAAGCTTAACAGTTTTTCAACATAACACATAACTGCCATCAGGATCCACTTGTTGCTAAATCCGGTTAAGTTCATGAAAGTAGGTCACATTACTTTTTCAAAACTTGAGTGCGAGAAAAGCACAGAAGGTTTTGCCACTGTACTTAATCGTTCATCAGAAACTGAGAAAATAGGTCTCCGGGGCCTTAGGGTGAGATCTATTTAGGAGTCTTAACAGATGGCGGCGATGCATATTTTTTATGGCTTCAATCGCATTTGAAGGGGAAAATAACATTTCAGGTACCGGTTGCATTTGAAGAGTCTTTAATTGCCAGAGTTCCTCACTTTAGTAGTTGAGAAAAGTCTATGGAAATCGCCTCCAGGGCCTTGCTTTCATATCTCCATAAGCCCTGGAATCCTACTTTTATTAAAACTGTAAAAAGTATATTGCTTTCTCGCAATTCCTCACAGTAATATTTGAAAGAAAATGAACGTTCATTGGTGTCTAAAAAACATCACATGGTTGCGTAGCTGCATGCATGTTTAGGCAATCCATCAAAAGACTGCGGTTGTCCTTTCAAGCTCTTCTGTGATCATGACATTTTCCACTGAGATCAAGGAGCATATAAGAGGGACAAAGGACAATCCTTTTCTAACCTATTCTGAAGGCACACACACACACACCATTTTGCTGACCACCCCTATCAGCTATGGGTTATTAATAACTCTTAATGCTCCTTTTTTCCAGGAAGAAGGAAGCAAGACAGAATGTCAGTTCATTGTTCCCCTTTCAGGAAGTGCACATAAGGCTGTGAGAGTAACAGCACACAGTCTGTCAGGCTCTGGGCCTTCCAAAGGTCCTACTCCAGCAACTCTGATGGACAATCAAACGAGACCTATTGGGTCACTGATGCAGTACACAGCAGAAAATGCTCAGAGAAGTTTCCACAGCAACAGATCAGAAAGCTTAACGTTTATTCACATAAATGCCCAAGCTTCCCATTGGAGCGTTTTCACTTAACATTTCATTATGACATCTCAGGTCATTGATTTGATTCTACCCATAAAGTGCATCACATCGCTCTGCATAATGCAGAATATGTTTGAACCTTTGTATTTGAACTTGAAAACTACTGTAATTAGAATTGGCTGGAAGCAGGAGTCATATTGTGTGTGCAAGCTGAAGACAGGAAGTTGCATGTGGCCTGTTCTCGCTTCTACAAAAGACAATTGATACACTTATGAGAGATAGCAGGAAGTTATGCTGCTTTTCGGTTACCACTGCAGATAAAGTGAAAGGGTGCACACAATAACAGAAGTTAAGGCTCTTGGAAACTATGCTTAAAATGGACTGAAAGGTTAGCTCTGAAATACTAATTTACTTAACCTTGCACCATAAAAAAAAGGACGTCAGTCAATTATTCTCGCAGTGGAGTCATTGATAGCAAATTCAAATGTTTATTTACAGCCTCTATAATAGTCAGAGAAAAGTGGTCTAAAACAAAACATGGCGGCTAATCTCCCTGAGCTTTACAACAACGTGGGACCTGTAGGTGACAGACAGGAGAAAGAGAGATGTTCTGTACACAGACCTAATGCCACTCAAACAAGAACTTACACCAAGGGAAAAAAAGGACATCTCAAACAAGCTTGTACAATAGGATTTCCAATGGAGTACACAAGGACAATGTTTACCATTTTACTCACAGGACTTGTCCACAAACAAGCAGGGTTTTTGAAAAAGTGAACAAATACCCGAAACAAAACTTCTACACTTGAAAAAGATAATCGCCACCAGAGAACAAGATTTCACATAAACGGCGTATGTCAAACAACCAGACTGTTATTTGCAAAGAGTGCTATATGTTCCAAGAATAGAACATAGAACATAGAAGCTATAACCTTACTTCTATGTTGTCCAAAGCAAGGCCATTTTCAGAAAGAAAAAGACTGTCGCTCTAGAAAGTAAACCCAACCCATAACAAACCGGATCAGCGCACTAGAAGGCCTCGGGGATTGGCTCATGGGAACAAGTATTTACACCTCCTGCATTGGGTCTGTACGTTGCTTCATCAACTGCTTTAAAAAAAAAAAAAAAAAAAAAAATTGCAGTCTTAGTCAGCCGTTCCCCAATGGAAGAATATTCCGATTTTGTACTTTTCACTTATGCCTCAAAGTGGTTCGTCACACGGCTCACAGGAGGTCGATGTGATGAGAAAAGAGAAAAAAAAAAAGAAAAAAAAAAAAGGGATAAAGAAATCACATCATGCTGCACTCACTGCACAACAAGCCTTTGTACAATGTGTTTTTGTGCCCGAGCTACAGATTGTATGCACAAGCATAGCAGGGAATGCTGGTTTATTTCGCTTTCATCCAATTTCTCTTAAATGGTTCCAGGTCGTAAAGACAAATACTCTTTTAGACAAGCAGTCTGGGATCCTGGTAACATTTTACACAACACCAACTTCTCAACAAAAAAAAAAATAGATCACAAAACAATCACTTCTCAGAAACAGACAAACTAGACAGCAGTGGAGATAACAAAAATTAACACAAATCCCCAAATTAAGCACAAGTATGGACAGTGTTACTGTAAGCTATCATCCTCAAGGGAACCACAATAGTCCTGTATGAGAGTACAAAGTCTCTGGGGTCATGACGCCAGCCATTTTGGAGAAAAGCACAGAGCAGTGTTGGCCTCCTGCGGTGCAAGAGCTGTCCATGCAGCACTGAGCTGCCGCCGTCCTACAGGACATCCGCTCCAGGCCGAGACACACACGGTGGTAAGTAGAGAAGGAAACGTGTAGTTTGGAGATGTGCACATCAGTTGGCGTGTCTGCAGTATAAGTGCCTATGATAATGATTGTGTGTATTGCTTTGATGTCGAGGGGAAAAGGGATGGCATCAAGAAACACTGAATGGGCAAGTGCCTGGGTGCAGTGTAACCAGGGTTGGAAGAGGAGAGTCCATCAGAAAGGGCAAACGAGGGCGTACGGGCGCTGCAACACAGCCTCTAGCGCTGAGAATTCTGTGTTGGCTGTCCATTTTGGATGCCGCCATTATTCTGCTCTTCTTCCTCGTCCCCCTCACTGACCAGAAACTCTTCTGGAGGCCAGCGAAGCTCCCCGCTCTCTACTTCGCCTTCCGTCGGCTCGACAACGATGGATGGCAGTCGATCTTTGAGCTTACAGCAACGGTCAAAGTCCGAGGGGTCTGGGAATATCTGAAAAAGAAAAAAAGTGACAAATCCTGGATATTCATTTTTCAATGACTGACACACTCGCATTACAATTTCAAGCTGGGAGAATCAGCGGCTCCTGTTAGTAAGGAAATAAAGGATTTGTGAGCATATTTCTGATCAGTACCAAGTGTGCACTAGGCTCGAGGACCACTGCAAGGCTAAACAACTGAAGGAAGTGATGCGAAGACTGATGGGAAGTGGTTGCTTAAAAACCCAGTGGCATACCTGCTCTTGCCCAGCCCTCTTTAGTCTAACAGCCCTGTCAGCTTTCCACATAGGTGCACGCCGAAAAACATCAAGAAGTCAGTGGCTGTGTATGAGTAAACGAGGCCTGTGAGACTTGCAGTAAATGCAGCATCAGGTTTCATCTAAATGCTCAGGAGGGCGTTGTGCCAACCGGCTTGTAGCTGCTTACAAACTCATCTAGTGCCACATCACCCACGACTAAAACGAAGAGCATAATCATTAAAAGTCCTCATTTGAAAACACAAAACAGGGGAAAACTTTACTGGGACATGATTTGAGTTTAAATAAAATGATCTATCCTCTATAACGGCCAACATTCAGGGCAGAAAATGTTGTATTCCTCTGGATGTGCCGTTGGAAAAAAGGTTTAGGAAAAAAAAAAAACATCAGCCGCATTATCGGCATATCAAACCTGGTATGTCTGCTTATAAATACCGAGTTATAATCTAAACTGGGGGGCATGAGAGACCACATGTATGCCCTGTCCAGGCAAGATTGGACATCAACCTCAGACCCCCTGTTCTCAGGAACCAGAGAAAAGGCCCAGGGGGGGAAAGACTACCACTCCTGTTCCAAGAACAGCATTTTTTGCTGTTGTTTGGATTAAGTGGATGAATATTTTTAGACCTGCATATTTCACTTCCAAGACATTGGAAGGGGGGGGGTGGAGAGAAGGCTATGTCGCTGTCTGGGCAGAGAGCCCAGTGGAAAGAAAGCATTAGATGAGGCAGGAGAGAGGAACTGAGACGAGAAAAGATAGAGGGGATCCAGCTGTGTCTCAGTCTGCATGAATTCCATTAGAGACAGATGAGAAATGTGTGTCCTGAATGGGACAATTTGTCAGGTTATGAAAGGATCCGCGTGTATTTCATCGGCTTTCTACATTTGCCAAAAGAGGCGAATACAAATTGGGCCAAGTGGTGCGATTAAATGCGCGTGCATGTCTGTTCACGTTCGATGCCCGCATGCGTCTCCATTCCCTGGCTTGCATCCCCAATCCTCTGTGCGTCAGCACCAAGGGCAGTAAATGACCTTGCCTTTGGACCCCTAGCCAACATGTCATAACTGGTTTCACTTCCACTGGCGGGAAGCGATAACGCATCAGCCAAGCGGCACAATCAAGGCTATTTTAAGATCTTCTGGGCTATGGGGTACTTGCACACTGTACGCCTCAACCATGAGATTTTATTTTTAACTGGCAATTCACCAACTCTTTTTAAATAGGTGCAGCATCTGTTTCATACAGTTCTTCTGAGATCTGGGGCGCAAGGCCAAGGTGAGGAAATACCAACCGGGGATGGAAAAACTGGAGAAGTGGCAACTTTTTCTCCCCCTCATCCACTGGTCACATCCTCTCAGACAGACACACAGCTGGGGTGTGAACTGTGTGGAGGGAAGCTCTACCTCTGGTCAGTCTACATCCTGTCAGAGTCTATATACAGCATGCCATCAGTCCACTGTATTAGGTGTCCTACCGTCATATGAATAAATCATGAAAATTGCATTAAATGATCTTTTAAAAAAAAAAAGGAAATGACCTTTTAGCTCCTGCAGGTGGAAACCCACCCAGCTGGCCCACCCGCTGCAATGCAGCCTCACTAACCATTATGCCAATTTCCTTTCCACAATAAAAATGTCTTTAATACATTTTATTGTTTTCTTAACTACAAGGCCTTTTGAAACTCCTAGATACAAATGCCACACCAAAGTAAACAAGCAGCTATGTGTTTAAGTAGTTTTGCCCTCCAACCTGATGGCGGCTTCTCATCACGCTTGCTTTGTCATTTACAGTCGAGACCAATCGTTAACCTCCAACAATTTCAAAATAAGAGTTTGGAGAATGTAGGAATACACACTTGTAATGTTTCCAGTACAATGTTTTTAGAACAGAAATGTAGAAGTGGGAATTGGGATTGTCATGTGTGCGTGTTGGTTTGCCCTACCTGGAAGGAGAGTCGGTCTTTGCTCGGACTGAGCCTCATGTCCTCCATGGAGGTGCTGTTGATCATCACCTCAGTCATATCTCGGCTGGGCACAAACACTGGGCTGCAGGATTGACAGAAACAAAGTTGTGTGATTAGATACTAGGGTGGTCTGTGTGTGCATGAGCCTGACATCCCAAGAGGAAATATTCACAAGTATGCACAACTTTTTAAATATAATCCAAGTATAAGTGATCAGGTCATATGACAAATAAGATTCACAGTCAAAGTGGTGACAGCTTGTCTCTGCACAGAGTTTTGTTTATACTCAGCACATCTTGACCACAACATACTTAGGATCCAGTTCATGCTCAGTACGCTAATGCGGTGCAAAGCTGCACAGCTCATGTGGCTTGCACGAGGTGGCCCTTCCTATATACACAATGATGTTCTCTTGCACTATCAACCAGAGAACAATCATTGTGAGAGTGTGCTGGGGGCGTTCTGTGGTATTTGACTTGCGTGGAACATGATGCACTCCGTTCCATAAGAGCAAAGCCAAACTTTCCATTTTAGATGAAATTAACAGGTTGTTTATCCATGTTCGGAGAATTTGTTTTCCAACATCATTATAGTGCAGCTCTAAAGGATGATGTGAAGCAGGTCCCAGGACCGACATAGACGCAGTCTTGAGACATGATGTTGTGCGGTCTTCTCATGCGTTCTATTTAAAGTTGCGTGCCTTATGGTCAGTGCCCAAACGCTTGTAGTTTGTTTACCAGCTATAACGGAACCCAAAACAGCAGCGGCTCACTCGCATCAGCTGCAAATTTGTTTTTTTAGGGGGCTTTGCACAACCTACTTTGAGTTGGTACAAGCAGAATGGTAAAGATTGGTTTAAAAACAAATAAGTTACCGAGTAAACGCGTGTGCCATAGAATTTATTTCACAATCCAGTTGTATTTATAGAGACATCTTGCCTCAGTCTGTTAAGCATTCAAATGATTTATTTTCTACCAATATCCAACAAACAGACAAAACAAACTCCATAGGTTAACGTAGACCATAGTTAAGTCTGTCCCACAAAACGTCATGGGGATATTGAAATAACTTATACTTAAAACAATTTTCCACCCACACAGCACGAGCAACTTCAGCTTGCATTATGTGTCAGACAAATGACATTTATGGATCAAGATTTAATCATTTAATTGCTAATCACTAAAACTGGTGGAAAACTTCAGCTTAACATTTCTTTGCTCCTTGTGCTGCACTAGATTTGAGCATTTAACGTTGCATATACATGCAACATTCAGCAAGTCCCACTATAAACTCAATTTGAGTCCCCATAATTTGCGAGGACCAGGGATCAAGTAATTTGTTCCTGTTCAAGACTGCAGGGTTTTTAAGTTTCCATATTGTGCATCTACAGCTTTTTGAAGAGCCGTTTGTGGATTTAATATTATCTTCTAATTGTAGTCGAACTCAAAAAAGAAACTCATTGAACCCAGTTATCCTGAGGAGTAGAGACTCACGTGACATGAGCCACTCACAGATCATCACCCCATAGCGATGGCATTCAATCAATCAGTTTTTCCATCCCTACATTTACACACACACACACACACACACCCCCCCCCCCTCATCTCTTTCATGAGGAAACACTGACATCACAAAAGGGTGTAGGGCGGCTCAATATAAAATAAAAAAATAAAAAGCCGTCTGGCTATATTCACCAGTTAGACAACACAGAACACGTATGTAGAAACCCATATGTACACAGGGCATATGCATGGAAAAAAAATAAACTTAGCCGGGGCTGCTCTTTTAACTCATTTCATCTTCAAGGAGGGTGAAGAGTGGGTGAGGCAAGCATGTAAAAAGCAGCAGAGGTGGGAAGGAGGGATGAATATTGACAGTGAAGACCTGAGCAGAGAATGAAAGATAAACACTCGGGCCTTGCCAGTCATATTTCTGTTCGGAGATCGTATAAACATCCTGCTCGGCTAACAATAACAGAACATCTGCCTAATAAAACATTGAGGGGCAAAATGAGGAGGAAGTGGTGATGCACAACCAACAACTTAACCTGGGAGGACACAAACATCCATTACCGCTTCTAGTGTCCAGCAGAAGATCTGAACAGAGTCCTTCTTGATTCCTATAGGAGGACACACACACACACACACACACACACACACACACACACACACACACACTCTACCTCCACCGATCAAATAGCCCCCTGACTAACGCATAACTGTTCCTTCAAACTTCCTAAAGCCACATCCAGCCACGGCTCACATGAACGCCAAGTGCAAGACAGTCGTCACGTAGGGAAATGCACCTACAAGGCTGGTGAAATGGTCTATTTATCAATAATGAAAATGATTGCTCATTACACACCTAGAGTATTATGTATGATCCTTTCCATGCTTTAAAAAAAACAAAAAAAAAAACACCTTCCATAAAGACATCGTTTCCCGCTTTGTAAAAAAAGATCTAGCTAACCTCTATTATACGGCACCATAATCCACAGTCGAAGTCTTTATTGGAGTTATTTGTTAGTCAAGTGGGCTGTCTGATACACTGGCTCATTGTCATCTAGAAAAAAAAGGAGGCCCAATGACTGACAGTCTTTATGCATGACAGCAGTCTCAAGTCCATAAAAAAAAAAGGCCACGGCCGTGCCAAGCTCCAGTTTGTCCTGTAGGGTTGCTGACAGGAGCCCAACTGGCCTCCACAACAACCTCCAAGCACAGGAGGGGACAATGCATCTTGAGTTATCGTTGTTCCTGCCCCAGCACCCCGCAGTTCTTACTACCACCAACACCATAAATATCAGTGTCTCCGTGTGGCGACGGGACAAAGCTCATCACCCCACAGAGTGTGCTGTAATGACTGGGTTGGATCTAGATTCCCTTCGTTAGAGTCAGCCATTAAAACACATGATCATTCATAACTGCCTCATGGAAATCTTAATGACAGGAATGGGAGGTAGAATCTAAACCTGCTACGTCAAGCAGCATTCAGCGAGCGTACCATGTTATGTTGTGATACCGTTATGGATGTTGAACACAACCAAGCGTTCTATTCAAAGAGCAAAAAGCCACAGTGCAGACACTTAAACGTTTTAGTGCCTCAGAGACCAAAGGAAGCCGGTTTTCAAATTTCTCAGAAACATTCGCAGAGCATAGATCTGGAGCATAGATCTGAAAGTAAGCACAGAGAAGAGCGCAGTGTGGTTACAGTAAAAAGGTTGACTCTGAACATCCTGCTAGACACAGAAGCCTGCTGGAGGTTTGAACAGCTCACAACACGGAGTTTAAAAAACAACAACAACAACAATTGAATCCTCTTTACAGACAGGACGACAGTCGACGGATGACAAGCTCCAAGACCCTTTCCAAATTTCTGAAGAAAATCAGGATGCTGATTTCCAGATGGATATTTAATAAGACAATTGTTAGAGTGCATCCCTCCTTCAATTACGCGGCACCTGCAGCATTCAACGCCAGAGATGCAGCTTATTAATTCACTTGGATGTTAAAGGATAAGAAATAGAAAATGAAGCCTGCAGGGCAGAAAGGTAAAAGGAAGAATCCTCACGAATTTGATTGTATCCTTAAAATGGCGAACATGAGGACAGTAAGACTTGACCTTACTGAATTGCCTCGTGCAGCCTAATTTATCAAGCTGGAATCTGTTAAAAACCCCGCAGTAAATCTCAAAAGGAAACACGTGTGGGTGTAACAAAAAGGTGGAGGAAAATCACCAAGCAAAACACAACCACACATAGCCTACGTTGTTCCTCCCTTCCAGGTGACGAGTAAAAAAAATAATTTAAAAAAAGTAGTGTTTGATAACGGATTAAGAAATCGCGTTGCTCCCCAAGCGCAAAAACAAGTGGAAAAGATGCGACTACTCACCAGTATATCTGCGGAGAAAATACAGACATGAATTCACACCTGCTGTCAATTCTGCTGATTAGGAGATCCAACGACAGCTGCGGACTTTCTCTTGACTTTTTTTTCCGAATTCTTCTTTATTTATTCTCCTTCCCAGGCCGCATAGCACGCTCACTTACAACCTGAAAAGTAACAGCGCGACGCGTCTTCCTGCCGAAGACTCTGCTCTGCAATTCGGTGCCTTTGCTCATCACCTCGGCCGCGTAGCGTATTTAAGCGAGAGGCGTGCGCTCGTCGGTCGGGAGACACGCCCCTCCTCCTCCTCCTCCTCCTCTGCGCACAGCGCACCAAAACCTCAATGGCAGCGCTGTGTCGGGCCGCAGCCAATCAGAGCCCAGGTGACTCGAGCCCAAGTCACGATGACGACAGAGGCGGCTGAAGCCTCTCCTTGGGAATAGGAAAAAAAGGTACTGCATGATGCTATTGATTTGTAGTCTCCAAGGCAACAAAACGACAGTCATACCTCTTGAATGAGAGAGAGAGAGAGGAGAGAGAGAAAAAAACCTGATTTGCTTGTTGGGTAATCCGTGACATTCATTCAAACGAGGAGGGAGAGGCTCCTCTGCCTGGGTTCATTCACAAATATATTACAAGGGCAAGTCAATGACAGCGTGTTTCAGCAGCAATGAGTGGAACCCCTGCAGGGTTGTGCCTTTTAAAACAGCACATCTTATAAAAAAAAGAGTGCAACACATGCAACTATACTATTTCATGAATTTGGAAATGAAATGAGAAGCCTGCACGACCAGACCGCATTTGTGTTATTATGAGGAACTTTAGGAAACAGTTGACCTCGTTGACCTTCACACCTTATCAATGCCCAGTTGTCTTGTTCCCTGCACGCAGTATAGTGCATGTCTATTTTGCCCAGAGGACGCAGGTGCACAGACAAGCTCTGCAGTTTTAAGGGCAGATGGTAAAATGCCAGTAGGCTTCTACTGCCACCTTGTGACCCACCAAGTGTAAGTCAATAGTTCTCTTATTCACCACAGTAAACAGAATATTAGGAAGAAGACATTTTGTTAAGAGCAAATATTTAAACACTTCCATATTTAAACAACAAATTTGTTTCAAATTTAATACACAATGCTCTTACTAAAACTGTGACTGCTACTATTTGTAGTATTTATACTGCTACTATTACTACAACAACTAGAACTAGTGCTAAAACTGGTAATACTAAAAGTAATACCACTACTATAAATGTTACTGCTACTACTAATACTTGCATTCCTGCTACCACCAATGCTATTAGGCCTCCTAACCACTATAAATTACATTTATCTATATCTACACAGCAAATTTCAGAGAGTTAAATTGACTTAATTTTAACTCTAAGCTGGTGTTTATATTGTCCCAATCTTGTTAGTGTTAAATCAACATGTAATAAGTGTCAAAAATCTATCTGCCCAGTGTTAAATACATTACACATTATTCAGCTGACACATTTATCCAATCAACCTACATTTTTAACTTGTGTTTTTTACATTTTAGCCTGGGGAGCAATTAGGGGTTAGGTGTCTTGCTCAGGGACACTTTGACATGGGACCTGTTGCAGCTAGGATTCAAACCACCAACCTTGTGGTTTCCAGTTCACTCTCTCTACTCCATGCGCCACAGTACGTAGAGTTAAACCAAACACCAAGAGGTGTGACACTGTACAGTTACATTTCAAACCTATCTAAGAGTTAATTTAACTCTACTAAATGTCGCAAATGAATCTGATCTTGACACTGAATAATGACTCCGGCTCTTTCGTACAATTGACTCTAAGAGTTGAATCAACTTTTTGCTGTGTGATTTCAACTCTGCACTTCAACACTTTTGCCTAACAGCGGAAAATTAACTCTAAGAATGACTGACTGACTGACAGTCTCGCTGTCAAAATATCTTGCAAAATTTGTGTAAATACCTTTGTGTAAAGGACATTAGTACAAGAATTGTGTTTTGGCAAACAAAATCAACTATTTGTGGTAAATACACTTCTGTTAAAGGTCAACGATAGGACATGCTCTGTGAAGTTTTTGTCAAAGCATTCGATTTTGAAAGAAGTATTGAACATTAAAATTTGATATTGATTACCAACCAGAAAAAGATGATTGATGAAACTATAAACAAGAGTTAAACCAAAAGGGTTGTAAAAAGAGAACTACAAAGCTTCAGTCACAAGAAAAAACAGAATTTCTAAAGTACAGGCTTAATTATAAAAAGCTATTCTCAATAAAAGTTAAGTAATTTGTACAGTTGTACAGTTAAGCATAAAGTCCATGTGAGTAAAAGTAAGTAAAATATAAGTCAGATGCAGTCAGAGATGCAATGTAAAATTAGGTTTGGCAACGAAGAACATAACAAAAAATAACAGTTGTTATTATGCAGAATTGCCCATTTCAAAATGATGTTTATGTATTATTATATTAGAATTATTGATGCAATAAGTGCATCGTAAGGGGTAGTATTTTCTTTTGATATGGAGGGAGGTAAGTAAAAATATGTGTAACATGATGATTAAGAAGAATTTCAGAATCTAATTACAATACTTTAAGCGTCGTAACTATTGGTAAACTGAATATAAAATTATCGGTGTTTGGCAATAATGTCAATGCAGCATGTCACGTATTTTGTGATTTTCGGTCGGTGATGTGTTTGTTTATATCTCAATGTGCCTCATTAGCATTGGATGTCAACATCATGCTTTTATGAACAGCTGCTCTGGTAAAATGAATCCACTCAGTATAAAGTTCTGGTATTGCACATATCTATGGAAACTCAAAAAACATGAGTAAGACTTTACTGTAACCTTACAATGTCTCATCTGGATAACTTTATCAAAGTATATATAAGATTCATTGACACAAAGTGACCACAGGATGTCGCTTGTGTCCATGGAATGGCCATAAGTACTGCAAGAGGCACCAATGATGTTAAGGTTTGACATTTAATCATTCAATTTATACATTCTGGTTGGAAAACAAAATTAAGATTAAATTCATTTTTGTTCCCTGAATCTTATCTTGTTTGGATTAGTTTGTTTTTACAAACTGAACATTAAAGAGAAGGTACCTGGTTTCATTATTATTATTTCTATTAATTTGATTGTTTAAAAAAATAAAATAAAATAAAAATAAAATGTAATTTAAAGGAATGAGATAAGTTTAGGATATGTATACTTTAATGCATTAATATTTCTATTTTTTGTCAAAATATGAAATCCGTTCAGTTTTGCCTGGTTGAATATTTTCAGCTAGATCTGGACACTATGGATGAGGATATTTCCATTCTATATCAAAGAATATGAACATAAGGTGGAAAATCAAATGGAAAAGTGCATTCAATTACACACGACTCTAAAAACACCACTTGCCACATTACACATTACAAGCATTGTGATTATGCTCTTGCTTCTTTCAATGTTTTAAAAAGTGCAAGAGTAAGAAAATAAACTGCTTTGAACCTTTCAGGTGGGGAATCTGATTATCTGAGGCAAAGCGTTCTCTCCTTAAGAGCTACATATTGTGAGAATTGCGACCCCATATGTTCGTTTTGAGGACGTGGAGGCCAGGCCAGCTGTTTTTATTGCTGCTGCACAAAAGCAGCTGCACATCTGGGCAGGCAGAGAGGCCTCAGGGGAGCAGAGGGGAAGCTTAGCAGCGACCGCACGACGTCTGAACCAACGAGGCCCTGAAGAGGACTGCAGTTGACAAGCACCCGTCGTCTTCTTGGCTGCTTTCTCAAAGTAAGATCAGGTTTCTTTTTTCGGACTCGGAAAGTTCCACGATTTAAAAAAAACGAAAAACAATTCTTCATCATTGTTCGCTGATTTTGTTGATCGTAACCATTGTTCATTTGAGTTAAACATATGTGAAATGAACCTTTACACATCACTGTGGCTTTAACAGCCATATATCAGAGAAGCATTACGCATAACAAATGTCCAGCCATAATCATTCCTTTTATGACATGCAGCAAATGTGTTTTTGGGGAGAATCTCTCCTCCCACGTTGCACATCACTTTGAGTGTTTCCATGTTCTCAGTGTTTTTCTGTTTATGAGTTTATGTCCATTAGTGTAACCACATGCAGACCTACAGGTTTATCCTCTGCTGGGACATCGGTCAGTATAATTCTTCTCATGCATACATCTGTGTGTTTGTGCATGCGTGTTGCTGAGGGACATCTGATCTCCGGGCTCGCCGCACGCCACGCTTGCTTGCAGGTGGTCTGTCCACACTTGGGGGCCGAGCAGATTTAATATTTCGTAGGAGCACAGCACACCCCTTGACGCCATCATTGAGTCCACATGGCCGACCGGAAAGCTGCTCTGTGAACACTTGGCTGAAGTATGCAGGCCTGCCAGCCCCCTCTCCACCATACTGCTCATTCCCTTGCTGGGCGTCAAAGTGAAAAGCTACAGATGTTGGCAGCTGTCTTTAACCCATGAGATGCCACTCTGGAGTGAAAGGCTGCCCCTGAAGTGCTAACGGCCCTTGATGAAGTTTGGGTGGCTATAAAAAACAATTGTGCAAGTACGGCCTTGATGAAGTAGGAAAAAATAGCCCGATGGCATTTAATTCTATGAGGTTCCAGCGCAAGTATGCTTGCTAAACCTTCAGCTCCTCCACTCTTAATGCCCGCTCCATCTCGATACACCATATAAACAGGAAACCCAAAGTGTTTATGACCACCTCGCAAAGTCCAATGTTAGGAATTCAAGCCTAGGTCACAATTTCATCCACCATTCGTCAGATTCCAACTGAGACAAACCTTGTTCTGTGTTTGCTGTCATGTATCTAGTTGGACTTCCGCCAAAGAGAATAGAGGAAACTTCACCAGCGCTATTATTCAACAAGGTCAAATACGTTTTAGATTTGAAACCACAGCCAAAACAGGGCATCTTGAAGCTGTTAGGAAACTATTCCAGATCTTAAACAGACCTGGGGGACTGTGTACATCTCCCTAATTGCACATGTCAATTTATGTACAAGCGCTTGGTTTAGTCAAGCTCTATTGCTCCCCCCTTTTCTTACCCTCAAGCCGCTTCGCTGTCACTGTTTCCTCCCTTTTATTCTGCTTCTGCCTCACTCAAGAACATGAAAAAATTCACTGACGACCACTGTGGGTATTCTTCAACGTTGTTGTGTCCTCACACAGAGGCACAGAAACACACTCCGGTTCACACAAACACAGTGACTGCTTAAGGCA